AAAAGCTCAGAAACTTGCTAAGCAATTCGAAAGTTCCCATAATTTCAGTTTGGGTCTTACTAGTCCTATTGAGAATCAGGTTGCTCGGGATTTTCTGAATATTTACTCTCGGGAAAATATTTTTGATGATTCCTGGGGGACTGATTTGGACGAAGTAAGGTAAGGTTGCTTTCTTCAATAAGTAAACTTTTTGAAAAGATAATTTTGAATAGAATGATGCTTCACATCAATACGAACTCAATTTTTGGAGATTAGCAGTTTGGATTTCGCCATGGGCATTCAACTACTCATCAACTCTTAAGAGTTACCAATTTAATTCGTTCAAACAAATCGGAAGGCCACTCAACTGGAGTTGCTCTTCTAGACATAGAAAAAGCATTCGACAGTGTTTGGCATGAAGGTGTGTTGGCTAAATTGAAAAAGTTTAATTTTCCACTTTATATTATGAAATTGTGTGTGTATGTGTGTGTATTCAATCTAACCCCCACTGGCCGGCAGTGGTATTATGGAAGAAATTTGCTTACAACAATCCTTGATGTAATAATTTAAAGCAAGTTTAGTCAGGGAGTTAGAAAGCGATAGCTCTACTGCAGATTCAGCAACCCATTTCAGAATGCCTGGTAATTCACGTCCATTCCGAGGTTACTTTCACATACAATAAGCCCCGCATGTAAACACTACCGTTATCATATGAATAATGGTACTGTTAACACACTTCCAGATTTCAAAATGTGATGTTTCGAAATCTGGCGCGTATTTAGTAATATATGGAAATATGCATTTATGATTGATTATAAATCAGATGGATCTCACCAAATTCTGCCTCCGAAAAAGGACCGGTTTGTTCACTCGCGGTAATCGAAAAAATCTTCCGCGTTGTTTTTACAACCGAACACGACATTTTGAATCACATTCGAAGTTTTTCATTTGCACCGAATTTTTGCTTGACACCTCATTCGCGTGCATCCTCCGGAAGGCAGAACGCCAGCACCAAGAAAAGCCACTTTATATTATGAAATTATTTCAAAATTATTTAACTGACAGAACTCTGCAGGTAAATTATCAAAATTCCAAATCTAATCGACTACCTGTTAGAGCAGGAGTTCCTCAGGGTAGCATTCTTGGGCCTATATTGTATAACATTTTCACTTCGGACCTCCCTGATTTGCCTCAGGATTGCCACAAATCTTTGTTCGCTGATGACACAGGCATTTCCGCTAAAGGAAGAAGTCTTCGTGTTATTTGCAGCAGACTGCAGAACAGTTTAGATATTTTCTCTTCTTATTTACAAAAATGGAAGATTTCTCCCAACGCTTCCAAAACTCAACTTATAATATTTCCACACAAGCCTAGAGCTTCGTTTTTGAAACCTAGTAGTAGCATAGAGGTAACTCTAAGACCACTGGGTCCCGAAGAAAATCATTATTATTTTTGGCTCACTCAGTACCAGAACAACGGTCCCAAGCAGTCCCAAGCTATTTCACTCACCCCTGCATGTTCTGCATGAATCCACACACCCCTGATGTTATCTGTCAAACTTTCATAGCGAATCAAAACAAACATAGTGTAGTAATAGAATTTCAACTAGAATAGGGTACGTTAATCGTTTGCTTGGGGCCAATAGGCTACTAAAGTGGTGAGCCAATTTAAAATCGTTAGTTTCGTATTGATTGTTGGTAGTAGTCACATAGTCACTATGAACGGAGTTCCAATTTCCTGGTCAAACCAAGTGAAATATCTTGGATTAATACTTGACCAAAAATTAACTTTTAAAGATCACATTGAGGGCATTAAAGCTAAATGTAACAAATATATTAAATGTTTGTATCCTCTTATAAACAGGAAATCCAAACTTTGCCTGACAAATAAACATCTAATATTTAAACAAGTTTTTAGACCGGCCATGCTTTACGCTGTGCCAATATGGTCTTGTTGTTGCACTACCAGGAAAAAAGCACTTCAAAGGATTCAGAACAAAGTTCTGAAAATGATTTTGAAGTTGCCTCCCTGGTACAGTACTACCGTACTACCGAGGTACATAGAATTTCGAATGTTGAGACTTTAGAACAAATGTCCAACAAAATAATTAATAATTTCAGGCAAAAACCGTTGCAATCCTCAATTGCAACGATTAATTCCCTTTATACTTAGATAAGATTTAGTTTTAGTTTTTAGTTTTAAGATATCAATTGTTATACTGACATGCAGGTTAAAAACCTGTTTAAAATACTGAATTGCCAAGACATGAACTGTACAAAACCGAATTCCGACGGAACACGGAGACAAGGAAAAAAACCGACGATGTCACTTTGCTAATTCAACTTTTTAATTTTCTCTGTTTTTTTGTTGTTTACAGTTCGATGGTTTTACATGTTATGTTTTTGGAAGGAAAAAAACATGTGCTAATCGCTTCTGCACTGACAGATGGGTGCAAGGTAGATGCGGATGTGGTGTACGATTAGAATTGGGGGCTCTCGCACCGGAACATGAACAATGTAAAAACACTTAGATATTGCTGATTGCATCTGAAACTGGACTGTCCCAAAAATGCAAAAAGTGTGATAAAAGTGCACGTTTCCGTCAAATCGTTTTGATGTCTTCGGAGCACTTATTGCTTGCATCATAAGAAATAAGTGCACCGAAGACACCAAGACGATTAGAAGTAAACTTGCAGTTTCATCACACTTTTTAATAAGTGAAAACGCGCTTATTAGTCCAATTTGGTGTGAAACGCGCAATATATATCATAACAATTAAGGCTGGTACGTTACTGCAGTAACTGGAGCACCTAGGTTAAAATGAAATGTAATTTATTTTGAATTTGGAACAAATAAAAAGTAAAAAAAAAAAAATAATAAAAAAAGGACCCATGTGGTTTGTCTTATGGAATGTATAATCATAGAGGTAACTCCCCAAGTAACCAGTAAGCATTAGAACAATGCTCTAATTTAGCACTATATTCACATATAAAACAGTGATTAAATGCTTATCATGCAGTATATACTTATAAAGGGCTGATATAAAGCTAAAAAGGCGAAATAGCGGGCTAATAAAATGCTACGATGGCAGCCTCAAATAAGCATTACTAATGCTGATCTAGGGTATCTTATAAAACGTCAAATTTTTTTACCGCGCTCTATTTTTAGAAATTTTTATATAAATTTAATTTATTTTCATCGACCCAAACTGAATGAAAACAAAAAAGAAATCTTTTCTACAGGTCCCATAACTCATAGGTTTTTCTCAACTTATTTGAAACCTTTGTTCAATTTCATCAGGTTTGTTATTTTCCAGCGAAACATGTTTAGGGATGAGAAGTCAAATACTATTTAATGAAAATTACCTTTGTCACGGCTCGAACCGGGGTCCTGCAACATCATTCATTATTCCAGGCGCCTGTGCATTCTCGACCACGGGTGATACCAAAGATCAAGTTGAAAATAGTCATATTTGAATCATCTTTTAGGCGTTCGCAGTAAATTGATGTCATATAACAGCAGGCATGGTAATGCGAAAAAAATCCTCTCACATTCCTGTTATTATCAATGCAACCATTCCGATGACGTCACAAACGCATTCACTTTTCCAGACCTTTTCTAAATGACATTGATCGCAGCACCCACTGGACTAGGTGTTTGACGTTTGACTAAACTTTAATCAAGCCCTTTATAAGCACTCAAGAAAGTTTTAATGCTAGGCTTTCTAAATGCATGTAAGCACTAAATCATTGCACTATATGCGCATACTAAGCTTTCTGTAATGCTTATTTTTATTAATGCTTCTGTGCACTAGCAATGCTAATATGAGGCTCATATGCATTAAAAATGCTAATATACGGCTTTTTGGCATTAGGAATGCTGAATTAGTGCCAATATAGAGCTATGGCTTAATGCTTATGGTTACTTGGGTCTAATAGTACGTTTAGACTACAGAGTTATAACATGTTATAGCGCTATCTTGATGGTGGTTTCTGTGTTGCAATTATTTGACAACCGTTATAACATGTTATAACTCTCCAGTCTGGACAGCGTTTAAGACTAGAAGGTCCCGAAATAACGTGCTCAACTTTTTGGCTCAGCTCTGGTACTCTCTTCGGTCCCAAGCTAATCGATTCACCCCTCGAAACATAGGAAAACCAATAACCCCTCATTTTATCTGTCAAACTTTCATAGCAAATCAAAACAAACATTGCGTAGTACTAGAATTTCGACTAGAATGGGATACGTTAATCGTTTGCTTGGGACCAATAGGCTAGTCAAGTAGTGAGCCAATTTAAAATCGTTAGTTTCGTATTGATTGTTGGTATAATGCTGATGTTTTGGCAAAAATTTATGAATGAAACACATGAATAAAATAATTGATTTTCGATTCGTTTTACCGTATCGGTAATATTTTTTTACTATAAATACTATAGATTCCATAGATAAGCGGAGGCAAAGTGGAATGTAGCCAAACGAACTGTCAATTAGTGTAGCCAAACGAGTATGACGTCATCATGGTGGAGGAAGTATTGCTATATTATGAGCACAAAACACTTTCCACACTCCATACCTGATTTATTTCGTGGAAAACGGAATAAGGAAATATTATGCAAACCACTCCTTGATTCATTGTTGTAAAGATTTGTTACGCAATTCATTTTGAACTATGGAATCTATACTATCTATACTTTTTACTAAAAATTATTTTTATCAGTGTATACGTTTTAAACTGTTTCCACATGTTCCACAGCAATCCCCGATACGTTCGGCGCTTATAAAATGTTACAACACAAATAATTTTATGTCAACCTGTTGTCAGTTGTTTAGCTTTCGTTGGCTAATCATTCATTGCATTTTTTATGTAAAATTTGATAAGATTATATTGTCTTGGAAATTTTGGAATTTTATTGTTGCATAGTGTTGATACTGTTTTGTTAAAAGTGTAATCATCGAACAAAATTATAGTTTGGGTTAGGCTAACATTATTATAGTAATATACATTCTTTTGTGTGTTTACGTTTGTGTTAAATCCTTTTGTATAGATCTATATCATATACTAGGCACTAAGCACTAGTTGAACTTGTCTTCCATATCTGTATAGATTAAATAACTACAACGTTTATTATCTCTGTACGTTGCGCGAAAGACAGTAGCTGTTTTTGGTAAAGTGATACGACTAATATAGTTCGAATGAATAATTTGCCCTAGAGCCATTATATAACGGGTTCAGTGATAAGAAACCGATAATGTCTAGAAATATCCTCCAGCTGTCGAAATGTAAGTGTAAATACCGAGAAAATTATAAAATATCAATTCAATTTCAAATCAATTAAATACTTCCAATTTATCACTCCTTAATAATCCAAACCATGCTGTACCTACCTACTGTTTATTTCCCAATTTGCTATTTTATTCCGATAACCCTGAGTGCTAGTCCCATATACTTAGGCTTTTTGTTTGCGTCATAAACCAACAATGCAGCGCTAGAAAGCGCTTTTTGTACTTTGACCCGCATCTTTGTTGCGATGATATAATCCGATGAAAAGCACTGAGTCAATGCGTGACTATGAATAGACTATCTTCTTTGCAGTTCCGAGAGTCCTCCTGAATACTCATCGCAACTATTCAGAGGCATCAGCGCAGTTCCCAAAAATTACAACTCATTACACCCGCAATCCCAGGGACAAAGACGAAAGATGGACAGGTTAGTCATAAGTGGGTATGAAATGAGACTGTTTTCTTATTCGTTTCTTTCGGCTGTTGTAGAAGTCGACATGGAACGCTTCGCAGACGAAGCCGATCTTCTAATTGTCGGTGGTGGTCCTGCTGGATTCTCGGCTGCGATTCGCGCGAAGCAGATTGCAGCTGAGAAGGGACAAGAACTTCGTGTATGTCTAGTGGAGAAAGCATCCGAAGTTGGTGGCCACATACTGTCCGGTGCTTGCCTTGACCCCGTTGCCTTGAACGAACTGATTCCCGATTGGAAGGAAAAGGAAGCCCCGCTGAATACCCCTGTATCCCATGACCAATTTTCTTACCTCACGAAGAATGGCAAGCTACCTATTCCCATTTTCCCGGGATGGCCTATGGATAATCGTGGAAATTATGTAGTTCGCTTGGGGCATGTTGTGGCTTGGCTAGGTCAACAAGCTGAAGAGTTGGGAGTGGAGATCTACCCAGGCACTGCAGCTTCGGAAGTACTCTTTCATGAGGATGGATCTGTGAAAGGCATTGCCACCGGAGATGTGGGCATTTCGAAAACTGGAGCTCCCAAGGACACTTTTGCTCGTGGCATGGAGTTGCATGCTAAAGCTACCATTTTTGCTGAGGGATGCCGCGGACACTTATCCAAACAGTTAATGGTCAAATTCGGGCTCAATGCTGAGAACGATCCCCAAACCTATGGAATCGGGTTAAAGGAAGTGTGGGAAATTAAACCCGAAAATCATAAGCCAGGTTTGGTTGAACATACCATTGGTTGGCCTTTGGATAAAAATACTTATGGCGGATCATTCCTCTACCATCTGAACGAGCCAACACCCGTCGTTGCAGTCGGTTTCGTTATCGGGCTGGATTATGTGAATCCTTACATCAGTCCGTTCCAAGAATTCCAACGGTTTAAAACCCATCCCAAGATGAGAACTGTCTTCGAAGGAGGCAGCCGTATTGCATACGGTGCACGTGCCTTGAATGAAGGAGGCTTCCAAAGCCTCCCAAGGCTTACTTTCCCCGGCGGATGCCTTGTTGGATGTGCTGCTGGTTTTATGAACGTGCCACGGGTTAAAGGAAGCCACTACGCTATGAAGAGTGGAATGTTGGCAGCAGAAAGTGTATGCGAAGCCATCTTCTCGGGCGCTACACAGGAAAAAACTGGACTGGAACCAAAAGACTATCCAGATAGGTAAGTTCAATGTGCCCACAGGGATGGATCGCTCTTAGGAGCATCGTTCGTTGAATTTTCAGTGAATCCATCGTAAAATAGGTATTCTTGATAGTATTCTCGATTAATCTTTAAACAAAATTCACCGTTGAGCCTCACGTATTTTCACTAAAGATTCACTAGCCTGCGCACTCGGGTGCACTTTCAGTGAAAACTGAGAGTGTGGCACCTATACCTACTAACATTGTACCAAAATAAAACATCAACTCATCATTTTGATTTTTCTCCAGGATCAAAGAGTCATACGTTTGGAAAGACCTGTACAAGGTACGAAACGCGCGTCCCAGTTTCCACAATGCGTTCGGACTGTTTGGCGGTGTTGCCTACAGTGGATTCACCCTTCTGCTAGGCGGACGCGAACCATGGACGCTCAGACACGGAGCTCCCGATCATACGCGCCTGAAACCGGCGAAGGAATTCAAACCAATCGAATATCCGAAACCTGATGGAAAGCTTACGTTTGATTTGCTTTCGTCTGTGGCCTTGACCGGTACCAACCACGAGGGCGATCAACCGGCCCATCTGACGCTGAAGGATGATACCGTCCCGGTTAAGAACAACCTCGCCATATACGATGGACCGGAGGCACGGTACTGTCCGGCTGGTGTGTACGAGTTTGTACCCAATGAGGAAGGCGGCAACATGAAATTGCAAATCAATGCTCAAAACTGCATTCACTGCAAAACGTGCGACATTAAAGACGTGACACAAAATATTAACTGGGTTGTCCCGGAAGGTGGCGGCGGCCCAGCCTACAATGGAATGTAACTGTGCAATAGCGCTCTGCTAAGCATTTATCAATGCACCTGCCGCCGTATCGAATTTTGTTACAACCTTTTTGTTATTAGGATAGATGCACTGATTTCTTTTCTACATTCTGCAATAGGAATAAACATTGTTAAGCATCGACAAGAACTGCTTTTTTCAAATACTGTAAAATTTATTCATATTCTTTTGAGTTAAAAATTAAAAATAACAAAAAAAATGCAATAAAAAAGAAGATATCATAAATTAGGGGGGGAGGGGACTGTGGAATATTCGTACATTTTTTCTGTACCTAGATACCGGTATCCGTCCAAGCACGTCAAGGCAAGCTAACTGGTTTGCATCTAGTATGTTTTCTTCTTCATGATCTTCATGAATAACACCATAACTGAAAAAAATAAGAACATGAAAAAATTGTTAGTATTTCGCTGCATACATTCAAGCGATTCAAGAAATCATTTTGATTGATTGCAGTTCGAAAAAAAAAACACTGGAGTTATTAACTCGACTTCACTTGAACTATCGGGATATTTTGTTTAAACATATCGTTGGTTTCTCAGAGAATAAAATATTCATATGTAGATCAGTTTTTAGTATGGTTTTCTCAAAATTAAACAATGGTACGTTTGAGTCAGGTTGTATACCAATTCCCGGGCAGATGGGATTCTCATAACAGGATTGGCCGAATTTGATACTGAATAGAATTTATAATGGAAGCAATCATTTAGAACATCGGAAAAGTAACCCAAAACTAGCATATATTTTTGGAAAACCAAATAAGCACCATAATACCTATGACAGACATGATTGTACTAACGTTGTATTGTGAGATCGAAGGCTCTTCGCAAATATAGCCAGTCCCGTAATCCATTCACCAAGCGATTATTTTCATTAGCAAGTAATGACTATCGAATGTAGAACCGTTTTATATACAAGTATGCAGACTAATCTCCGGCGTAATCCTAAGCTATTCTGGACGTGCGTTAAGACAAAAAGGAAAGAGGATGGGCTACCGGTTGAGATTCATCTAAGCGATGACACAAGCAACACTTCTTTAGAAAAATGTAACATCCTGCAGAGCGTATTTCAAGCGTATTTTCAACGGCTCAATGGCATCGTTAAGTCTAATTGAAGGGATCAGAGATATTTCCAGAGACGCGTTCAGCTTTGATATTTTCACGATCACATTGGACCTCGTCGGCTCTGCCATCCAGAAGCTGAAATTCTCAAACGCTGTTGGACCTGACGGCATTCTATCGTGCATATTTCAAAAGATGCTCAACAAAACTTTCCTCTCCGCTTTCAAAGCTGTTCGATATTTTATTACAACAAGGTGTATTTCTTTCCCGTTGGCAATCTTCTTCCATTTCCCGATTTTCAAGAAAGGAGACAAACGAAATGTAGAGAATTATCGAGGAAGTTCATCACTTTTTGCTTGCTCGAAAGTATTAGAGGTAATCATCAACGACGCTTTATTTGCCAGCTGTAGAAACTACATTTCTGCCGGCCAACATGGTTTCCACCCCAAACATTCGGTCTCAACAAACCTCGCTCCTTTCATTTCCCTATGCCTACGGAATATGGAGGCAGGAGCACAGGTGGACGTCGTATACACGGATCTCAAGGTTCGACCGGTTGATCATGCCATTCTACTTGCCAAACTCGAAAAGCTCTCTGTCTCACAAGGAATCACTTGGTGTTAATCTTCATGTTAAAATGGCGAGTTTTACAATTTTCAGTCGTGCCTAATTAATATCCAAATAATAAGAATATCTGAACTTGCATGTTGACAGTGAAATATCGGCTGCAGCTCAATTATTATATAAGATACGGCATAAAATGTAATTGAAGGCTTCATATTAGATCGACGTTAGAGACATATACCCTGATCAGCAAAGCGATTTAAACAATTTAATCCTAGAGGAAGTCGACCAAAATTGAAGGAAATATACTTATCTGTTGTAAGGGCAAATTACTTCCAAGCATTTCAAATAATGGTGCTTTGCTTTTTCAAGAACGCTGTAACGCATTTTTGAGAACGTTACGTTTGTCGAACATTATGATATGTTTCGTATTGACGGCTTCCGCAATTCTTTATCTGTTATCGTCAGAGGGTATGAAGGTGAATGATGGTGCATCATGTTCAAGAGCATTGTTTTGCAGATATTTAACACTCTAATCCTTCATTTACCCTCTGACCATAAAAGGTAAAGCTGTGCCGAAGCCGTCATTTCCCCTACGAAAATATCAATGTGTTTGATGATGGGTCTTCAGGCCGAATTTAAAAAAAATGTCTCTTAGCACTTATCGAAGCAAATGTGCTGAAAGAGACGACAAGCAGTAAATAACAGAACGATAAATATGGCTAGTTCTTACTCGTAAGTGCACTCCACCCAACACGACAGAAATTTTGTCACATCAATGTTTTCAGCAAAATTTTTGCTGGGTCATCAATACATGGCTACTCCTCACTAAATTTGTTATATCCGATGGAATATTGTGAGACAAATGATAATTTTCCATAATTCAAACAGACGGATAAAATTAGAGGAAATATTGAGCGCCTTTAATTAAACCGACTCATGTTCGAAAGAAGACCTGGAAAAATCCTTGAAATATCCGGGAATTTCGCCACTTTGCAATTTTTTTAGTTTGCCCAACACTTATTCTTATTAGTACGTCCCATCAAGGAGTTTACCAAGTGAAATTATGCTCTATGCCGAGGGAAGTCAGGAAGACAATTTACAACTTAAATATTCGATCACGATCATCTCTTTGTAAGCGTAAAACGTGTGAAAAATGACCTGAGTATACTCACATATGAAAATCATCATCACAAGCCCTATCATAAGCCACATCCAGCACTTCCAGGCTTTCTTAGAGCTCTCTTGCAGCTTCGTTGACTCCGAAGAAAGTGAAGACATGTTTTGATCCGTTAACTTGGCTGATTTGCTTACATTCTACAAAACAAAAAAAAAACATTTTGATTTCGATATATGATGATCAACGTTTGCAAGCAACGAACCTCAGTGTCTTTCTTAATAATCTTGTTGGCAGTTTCAGTTTGCTCTTTTAGGTTCCTAGTCAGCAGTAGCATATCCTCTGCAATTTTTTCCTGCACATCCGAGTATTGCTTGACCGTTTGCTCTAGGTTTTCGGCCACTTTCTGACCGGCACGTCGTCGAATAGTGGAATTGAAATTGCCATTGAAAAGTTCGCTACGCAGTTCTTTCTGAAACTTTTGATCGTGAATCTGACGAATTTCACGCATCACGTCCTCACCGCTGTCTCCCGACGCTTTCAATTTCGACTTCAGTCGCTTCTGTTCCAGATTCGGCGATGGTTCAACGTAATTGGAAAGCTTCTTCAACTCAGCACATCGGTTGCGATACTCTGTAATTAGCTTCTCTTCCGGTTTACTGGAATTATACAGGAAAGAAACAATCAATTACCTAGGCAAGAATGTGAACAAAACGGAGGTCAATTAACTTACTCAAATTGTTCCTCTAACTCCGAAATCATCGTATCCAACGATTTGATGTACTTCTTTAATCTCCAGTCCTGATTATCAACCGATGCAAGTTCCTCACACTGGGCAATCAAGCTGCGAATGTTGATCTCCAGTTTGGACGTCATTGTTGCTTACTGCCTGGTAACCTACGCCAATGTGCTGATTTCTACTTTCTTGATTTATTGGTGAAATCTTACGTTCCCTCGCGAATCTAGATCATTCAAAGTGAAATTCTGCTGACTCGCGGGTGGAATCGAAATGAGATACGACGAAAGCAGCAATCAGCAATCAGTTTGTTGTTTGCAAGTTTACGTTGTCAAATGTCAAAATTGTGCATATGGATTTGTGAGATCGCATGTGGAACATGTTTTCACAACAACAAACTTCTCTTTTTCGCAGGGAATCAAACCCGCCGTAAAGCCCACTCGTACACTGACCCGAAGATCGCAGTAAAGGCCCGAACATTTGATCTCTTTCATCACGTTTTTTCTATACCTGATGCTCTGATCTGAGGCAAAAGAATGTAAGAATTCCCTAATAACAAAAATACCATACCCGAACAATAACCAAAAAGATCGAACTATTCCACAACACGTCGTTAAGCAACATAACCATACACATTTTATTAGGATGGCAAATCAATGTTCACGAAACGAAAATCAATTATTTTATCCATGTGTTTCACTTATACATTTTTGCCAAAGCATCTGCCTTATACATTACATAAGACAAACCACATAGGCCCTATATGAATGCATAAAAGGTATGTGTGACCGCTTATACATTTCATTTGAAATATGATCTTTATTAACTTTTTACAATGCGTCTGCTTATATTAGTTAACTTATACATTTCATGAATAATCAGCAATAGAAATTTGCCAAAAGGTATAAGGAGATTTCTATCCGTGTTGGCTCCCCGCATAAACGTGAACCATAACTTGACCTTACCGAAAATGGTTAAAAATTGTATATAATCCTAGCTAAACTTTAACTAAAATGGTTATGGAACTTTACACGAACGTTTGTGTGATAAAATTTTAACCTTTTGCATTATGGTTTTTTGGAAGTGGACCATACAAACAATGGGTTGTTAAGAATCATTACCATTCAAAATAGTTGTTTTCTCCATACATTTTCGAAAAGAGAACTATATAAGAACCTAAATCTAAAAATGTTTATATTTTTCAAATGGAGCTGGCAGAAAAGCTGAAATTTATGTATTCAACTAAAAATCTGAAAAGAAATTATTTTTTATATTTTATATGTCTATTGATTAGCCTTGTAGTTTTCTTCTAACGTGGCATTTACCAGATTTTATTAAAATTATTTATTCGTAAAATAATGCATTTTAAGATTCCATTCGTGTATCTACACACAAAAAATTATCGTTAATATAATTGAAAAAAACATTGTTAGAATTAAAAGTTATCATTGGTTCTTTTTGGTAGAAAGTACAGAGCTTTCGAAATAAAAAGCTGAAACTTGTCAAATTAAAAGTTTCCCTCATTGTTAATTTTAAAAGTTGAAGCTTTTGAATCAAATTGTAGAACCGTCAAAATAAAAACCATGGTTTTTAAAATGACATATGAATTGTTTCACTTCAAATGATGCCGTTTTCAGAGTAGTAATATTTATTTTTATCGCAAAATGAAATTATTTTCAAATTAAGAGTTCTTAAGCTTAAAAAGAAAGTATTCAAACTCATTTTCTAATCATTTCTAATTATTATGTATATTCATCATATAAATCAATAAATAAAAATCACTTTTTTATTCGTATGCCATTTATCGCATCGTCAAATGCCATTTATGATATAAAGGAAGTGACACTTTGGCAAACGGAGACTTTTCAACAAATTCCCAGCACCACTCCAGGGTAGCGTAATACATGTTCCGTGTGAATCTGGTGCCCTACTAGAGAAATTCAATTTTCAATCGATGATCTAACGAAACGGCATTCTTGCCCGTTGGAGACCTTCCGTTTGATGTCCAAATTAGGCTTTTCCGGCGGAACAACCACAGCTGATGCAGTGAACTTACTCCATCAGTTCCGCTGGTTGTGGACGATGGGATGGAGCAAACTGTTTCGGGAAAACAGTGATGATCTTCAGTGGGAGTCTATATGAATGTCGAAAAACAATATAAATGTGAGTGAAATGGTTTTCTCAATAAAGAGATCCATTAAACCAACAATAACTTCAATGATTCACAGATTGACTTACTTTTAAAAATTTGTTGTCCCAAATTGCTACAACAGACGGCTGACCAAATTTCCACTATCGGAAAAGGCGGTAAATTAGAGTTTAGTGCTGCCAGTAAAAACGACCTCTAAAGATGTATTTTTGACAGTTGTACAACTTTTTTTTTCAAAAAATGCACTTTTAAATTTACAAGTCAGAAGTGAAAGAAAAACTTTTAAGGCGAAAAGATAAATGTTATGTTCAATATTTTCGCAGTTGAAACTACGGATTTTGGGAAACTTTTAATTTAAAAATGCATCATATTTATTGATACAATTTTAGTTTTTTGTGTGTAACCGTTCAAAGTTGTGAAACCATCATCACTATTACAGTTCTGCTATTCTCCCCTGGGGCCAAATTTGATTTACCAATTCCATAAGAACCACTTATGAATTATCCAGCATTTTACGAGCGCTTATGGCCGCCACAATCTGGCTGAGTTTTTGGTAGGGAACATATGATTTGACGTTTGGGTTGTGTCGTTTGACGTGTAAACGTTCAAATTTGATCGTTTACACGTCAAACGACACAAGCCAAACTTCAAATCTTATGTTCCCTACACACAAAAAACAAAAATTGTTGCTATAAAAATAATGCAATTTCAAAATGAAAGTTTCCCAAATTTCATTGTTTTAACTGTGAAAATTTTCAAAATGAAAGTTATATCTTTGGTTTGAAAGTTTTTCTTTCACTTTGGACTTGTGATTTTAAAAGTGCATTATGTTTTTATAAAAGTTGTTCAACTGTCAAAAATACCTGTTCATAGCAAAGTTTTTGGCAGCACTGAAGCTCTGAACCCAACTGTATTTGCCGCCAAAATTGAATTTGAGTGGACCAGACGAAGTAAAAAAAAAAGCATTTTACGGTGGAATCAGTGTACGAAAACTACCTCCAATCGATGCTGATGACATTTATGAATGTCTTCACCATTCTGCTGGATATTGCTACGGTGAGTGTTCCACTTTTGTGGTATGCAATGGTTGTGGCTTATATTTCAAAGGTTGTATTTTTGTTTTTGTAGATTCCTTATCGTCAGTTCATGGAGAACAATGTTGCTCCAGCAGGAAGACGTCGTCAAGAATGCCGTTTCCATGGAGTGATATTGGGATAAGCACTCTTTGTAATCATCGCCTTCCTTTTGTTTATCGTCATTTTGAACGAGGAAAATTCCGAAAATGCCGTGGACCCGAGGTTGGACCGAATACCTTCTTTTATTTCGGACCAAAATTTGCTCTGGTTCGGACCAAATTTGCTCTGGTAATTTTAACAATGTATGATTTTGTTTTTTGTTTATAAAATTTATGAATAAACATTATTTTTATTTTTGTAAATCATGTAAATATGAGTACCCAATTTTATTTAAATTTTGAAAACTATTAATCTGAAAATATTTCAAATTTGAGATAAAAACATATATTGACATGATAAAAACGACTCCTTTTGAACTGAAACAATTTCTACTTTATTTTAAAAACATTGATTTTCCTTTTGACAGTTCTACAATTTGATTCAAACGCTTCAACTTTTAAATTTATCGAGGACGTAAACTTTTGATTTGACAGGTTACACATTTTTATGATGAATGCTTTGGAATTTCTACCAAAAAGAACCAACGAAAACTTAAAATTCTACCCATGGTATTTTTAATTTTAGTAACGATAATTTTTTGTGTGTACCAGAAACTCAGCCAGATTGTGACGGCCATAAGCGCTCGTAAATAGTCACAAGAGATTGGGACACTGATAAAATTCCACACATTTTTATTGATGAATTTCCATGTCAAATTTCACATGAATTTCATGTGACCACACATAAACAGACATGAAATTTATGAGTCAAATGAGTAGTATGTGTGGTTACACAAGGTTACACATGGCTTTTATGTGTACACATATTAAGTATGTGTCAGACACATAGATATCATTTGTTGATCAGATTGCAAAAATTCATGTGTGGGACTCATAAAAACAATGTTTGAAATTTTATTAGTGTATGAATTTAATTGATTTGCCTTATGAAAAATAATGTCGAGAAAAAAATTATTGAATAGTGCAGACTGAAATCGAACCATGGACGTTGAGATTACGTGTGTTGACCACTCGTCTTTCAGTGCTTGGGAAAATGGAATGGTTAAAGGCGTATAAGAGTAATTGAGTTAGCGAAAATCATTCATAGGTCACGCTTATGAAATTCATATGTGTCGTTCATAAGTCGAGCCTTATGAAATTCATAAGTTTATTTCCCTCAGCATTACGCATTGTTTGTCGCAAAACTATACACCCCGTCCCCTCCCCTAGAGCGTGACATACGGACATGCTATATGTCCGGAGAGCTTCGAGATTAGGGTGTAATTGCTTATGTAACAAACACGTCATTCGCCGATTTCTCGCGAATTAAAGCTCAATCTAAAAAAACTTATAGCAGAAACACGTAAAAGAATGGTTCCTCTATCATTTTATAGATTGTTCTTTTATTCACGAGAAATCGGCGATTGACGTGTTTGTTTACAAAAGAAATTACGCCCAAATCTCAAAGTTCTCCGGATGTACCACCGATCAATACGGTCCAGCAAAACGGAATATTGTGGCTCGCATTTATTTCACTAACGTTTACTTTTTACATGCATGAAGCATGCAATCCTTTTTATAGCAATCAGTTTCACCAGCAAAATTTCATGATGTATGGAAAACTTATTTATTTTTCAATTGATCCCTTTAAATTTTACTTCGCTTCCTCGTTCGTTTCTATCTAAATATAATGTTTGAGTAAAGAGCTCAAATAGTTTTATTTTTCAGTGTGTGGCGGGCTTTGTTGGTGTGTCTTTCGGAAATGAATCTGGCAACTGCGGCAGTCCAAACGCACCTCAAAAACTCTTTCTTCACACAAAAAAGTCATCTGTGAACGACACGCAGCGCCAAATTTGCGATATTTTCTCAAATTTTCAACAATTCCATCACGAGAAACCTGTTCAAGTATTGTGTAGTTTAATTTTCCAGTCGCCAGTTTCATTTTGCTGGTGGTTTTAATCGTTTTAGTTCCGGGAAAAGGTATGAAAAGTTGAAATGAAAATTACACCACGAGAGGCGTTTTCACTTTTTGAGGAGACATTTTTGTTTCCCGTTTGTCCTCGAATCTCCCATAATACATTTACCGAGTTGTAGCATTGTTGGATCTTGAATAGATTCGGCTGGTGTAATTATTATTATAATCAAATAACACATCCTTTCAATCTGTTGCAGGCTACTTGAAGAGCTCGTCGCGTGACCCCACGAGAGAATTGGATGCGTTCTACTGTGGTCAGTTGGGCGAAAGACCAAGAAGTAGAATCTCCCCTTCCTAATAGCACGTCAATAAGGGTACAAACGAGTTTTGCATCAGAAGGATTTATTGCCAACATCATACAAGGGTGTCAGAAAAAATAGAGAGTTAGAAAAGATAGATCAACAAGATTCGCGCTTTTTGTGGAAGCTGAAGCGAAAGTGTTCCTTTCGGTAGAAACCATCCACGCACAATTTGCCTTTTCTCTTCGTTCTTTTGCCAATTAGTTCGCCACGAAAATATAACGGGACTTCAGCAGTGGTAGCGAAACGCAACAGATAGCAACACCGAAACTAGTGACAAAATGACGTGGGAACCGCAACCGGACGGATTGAACCAAATCATCACACTGCTGAAGCAATCGCAATCTACAGACAATGCGATTCAGCGTGCCGTGCAGATGGTACGTACCCATATACTTACTATAATTTTTCTAGTATTTTTGTTGCGTATTTGAAAATGAATATTTAATATTTATTTTATAAACAAAGAAAAAATAAACGTTGAAGCGTTGCATTTGAGTTAAGTGCCGGACTGGCTATTGACGCCACTGATTCCAACTTTAGCTCAGTTACGTCCGTTATCCAGGGTGGCCAGCGAACCGGGAAAACCGGGAATACCGGGAAATATCCGGGAATTTGAAAAGTAACCGGGAAAAACCCGGGAATTCGGTGAGAGAACCGGGAAAAATAAATTAACCATACCATAGGAACAAATCTTAACAACACAATTTCAGAATAAACCATTAAAACAGAGTAATCCTTTACCAAATGAATGTCTTGCTCTATTTGCTGCATAATTTTCTTCAGTTTCCCGTCTAATTGGGTTTAGAATTTAATCACTCAGCAATATTGCAAATTGATTTTTGTCGTTTCAATTTCTGATGTAAAGTGCTTGGTCCTTAAAAGAAAATATTGAAGATGCTGGACTTTGGAAACAAATCTCTCATTTGTAGAAAACGAAACTGAATTATTCTTTTGCAGGGTTTAATTTTTTCGTCCTAAATTCTCACGATATGAATTCCAGAATTGTCTTGGAATTCTGCTCTGAGTTATCTTGAAATTGTTCTGAAATAAGCCAGAAAACACCCCGCGTAATAATTACCAGTGAATTTTTTTGGAATTTCTTTTTAATAGAAACCAAACGATCGATTCAACCTCTGGTGGTAAATAGGAGGACGTTAAAAAGAGTGTTGCGAGCAGAAATGTTTGTCGTGAGACATTGGAAGCGGAAAACTTTTAACTTTTCCTGATAAATTGATTCATCTGAGATGCTCCAAAACTTGATTTACAGTTTAAAAATTTAATTCTGTATCGTTTTTGCAAGGATCCTGCTAGTGTCCAGGAAATTTTTTGGTGTGAAAAATGGAAAATTATAAAAATGCCTTAGTGGTTAATATATTCTGGATTTGTATATAAATAGTTCAAGTGCAAATCAGTTCAGATCTGTGAAAAATCGTAAAATATGCAATTACTGACGCAAATTGGCAAGATGTTGAATGAAAAATGCTCTAATTTGCGTTGTGAAAAATCCTCATTCTGATGTAAACAAATGGTTTGGCTGACGTTTCCTCTCGAATTCGCTTGGCGTACTCTACATTGGTAGTGCATTAAAAAGGCCTATCTGGAGATTTCGATTCCTTTGAAAAACTTTTAACTCTATTCAAAACAGCAGAACTCTTTCGAAATTTTTATTTAGGAACCCTTCGGAGTATTTTAAAGAATTTCTTTCTAATTATCAGCATTTTTTTGCAATCAATTTTGTTGGAGTTCTGCGATGAATCTTTCGCACTAGGGTTGAAATTATTGCCAGAACACTCTTAGAACTCTGTTTCTGGTTGAATTCTGAACATAATTCTCTTCTTAAAATTCATCTGTCATTTTCCTCACGATCCCCTTTCAAATCTTCTCAGAATCACGTAGGAATTTTCTGCAAAGTTTTATTTATCACAACTCCTTTTTAAATCTTCTAAAATCACCTAACAATTTAATTTAGAACATGCATTCTTCTCCACAGAAATCCCTCCAAATACAACTAAAAATTTCTAAGGATTTCATGTCAGAATAATTCTGGTATTCTGCTCAGAACTTCTCATTCGAAAGTTGTGTGGAAATCCTTCTCAATATTTGTTTGAAATCAACACTTTGAATTCTTTTAAATTTTACTAAAAACTCCAGGGTTTGCCAACTAGATTCTAAAGATTGTTCTGTAATTTGTTATAACCCTTAAAATGCCCCTTCAAATCTGTGATCTTGAATTTTTTTCAATATCTCACATTATAATTATTTTTCTCCAAATCTTGTATCACGAAGGTTATTATTAATCACAGATTTTGAAAAAAAAGTTCTAGTTTCAAATTCTATACAAATTTAAAGCCCCACGATCTTGGGAATCTTCTTTAATCACATTTATCCCTTCAGTAAATTCTTTTCAGCACTTTCTTAAAAATGCGTTCAATTTCGTTTTTTTTTTAATACTAACAACCGGGAATTTTTTAAGATTTAAACCGCGAAAACCGGGAAAAAACCGGGAATTTCAAAATGAAAATTCACTGGCCACCCTGCCGTTATCGCAACAGGAATGCAGTAATCGCGGTATTTTGATATTAGGCAGATTCTGTGGACAAATTGATAGTAAATATTTGAAATAATCTTTACATTACGTTCTTACGTTTTGTTCTAGCCATTATTCAATTAACGTCCAAATCAAATCGCTCTCCTGGATCTACCAGTACGCGATAATGGTTGTTATTAAAGCCATACACTCTTTAATTTTAAATATGTAGGTAGGATCCGGAAAATTATTTGGAATTCAGCGTTTTTATCTCTCAATACAGCCCAAGTTTCCGCCGGAACTCTAACATACGCTAGTTATTTCGGCTCGTACGCCATATTGTTTTGTTTTGAACAGCGTTTCATACGTATACGACGTATAATTTTTTCCACACAAGATCAACTCATAAAGTTCATTGCAGCCTCGTATGAAATTTAGACTCATTTCGTATGGGAATCATTTTTGAGTCATGTAATTTTCATACGCATGCTATGAATAACATACGTGTCGTATGAAACTATTTCCAGAGCTCAAAATGCAACGATACATATTATGAAAATCGTAATTCTAGTTTCCTCAATGTACGTAACATTTTGAATGATTGTTTTTCTTTCTAGAATTCATGATTCATAGTTTGTTACCTGTTTCGCATGGTTTTCATATAATCAATGGTAAATTACAAATTGCATATTTAAGTTCTTTTAATAAAAAATAATGGCGCTTAGAGGTTACTAAACTAGCTTACGTCACTTTCCGGATTGGACCATTTTCCAAAAAATTCTAACGAATTAAATGCTCCCTTTGTTAACTACTAAAAAGGAACTATTCCGTTATTTTTTAAACACTCGCTAAGGGCATATTTCCTTGTTTATTTATTATTAGAAGAGAAAAGCAATGTTTTCTTTATTTTGTATGCACATAACGGAGTATTCAATTATTTACTAAATATTCATCGAAGGGAAATTTCTCTTCAATTTCAATTCAGTAACATTTAATTTTAAGCTTACCAGAAATTTTAATAATTGCAAACTTTTTATCTGATCCCGTTCAGAGCTTCACATCAAATCGGAAGAAGAATGTTGCATAGGGATTGAGGATTACAAGCAAATTGAAGACCAAAATTGGACCCACACTGTATTATAGCTTCCTTATTAAATTTACAAAGAAAGGAATCTTCCTCTCTAATAAATATGCATTAGGGGCTGTTCATAAACTACGTAGACCGATTTTGAGATCCCCCCTCCCCCGTGTAGGCAACCTTCCTTTTTTTAAATTTATATGGACACTAGACACTCGCCAACCCCTATTCTCACTATTTCGCAACGACCGTAACCGGATGGATATTACCAAATAACGTGTTGGTGGCGTCTTGATTTCGGTATTCAAACGACTGAACTGGTGGCTCGATCCTGCTCCCTTCAGCACTTTTCTTGAGCAATTGTGGGTCAAGATTACGACATCATACACAACTATAAATAAGCATTGGCGTCATGTACTTATGTCCTGACCGTAAATCTGATTTGAGCTGTGTTGAGCCCCATTATCGCATATCAGTCCCATATGATACCAGTTCAATTGATGCTGTATTGTCTCGATTAAATAACAACGACCTATGCTCAACTATTTTGACAACAAGCAGTCTTTGGAATGGTTCATGGGTTCCTGTATAGTTAAACGCAAATCAACTCCGTACTACATAGAAACTCTCGGTTACTTGACCTCGTGCTGGTGAATGAAGGGTAATGTACACTCAAAATAATCTACACGTTGAAGCTACGTGAAAAATCACGTAAGCTCTCATTTTTTCCTCTCCTCTCAGTTTTGCGTGGCTTACGTAGAATGTATGTGATGATCCTTGAATTTCACAGGGAGTTACTTTTTAGCACACCTACATAATCAATTAAATGTACGTGATTTTCACATAACACTGCGTGTTTGTGCGTTTCACGTAAAGCTTATGTGATTTCCACATCTAAAAAAAAGAGTGGTACGTAGGTACACTTAGAGCGTTGCAAATCATGGCGGCATCACGATATCCTTTGTTCGGTATTTTTGAAAGATAGTGGCTAGATGTAAGTATAAAATTATGCATTATTTTTTTTCTCTTTGACAAAAACAAACTGACTGTTTCATCGAGCTCAACAGAATGATATCAAGCTGTCCAGCAGTTTCTTCCTCTAAGGAAAAAAGTATCCCGGCCCATCCCAATGATCGTCCAGATTGTTTGTGCTGCGTATCGAATATTTAAAAAAAAAATCTGATGTGGTGTATTTAGATATATGAATAAATTAAAGGGATATTATTATATTTTACTACTATGAATACAGTAAAGATTTTATCTGCATATTAAGGAAAAATTCGTATAAACAGTGTAAAAATATTGATACTAAAATCCTCCAATGAATGTTACCGACCAGATCACGTAACTTCTATGTGATAATCCTGTGACGGTTAAGCTTCATGAAATGAGTGCCCCTACATGAGAATCACGTAGCTCTTATGTGAAAAGTGCGATGGAAAAAATCTTCGTTTGTTTTCACGTAGCATTAACGTAAAAATTATTCTGAGTGTAGCACAATTTAAAATGACTACTCTGAAAAGTTATGTGGTCCGGATAATCGGATAGCTCAGTCGGTAAAGGCGCAGCTACAAAGCAAGACCATGCTGGAGATGGCTGGGTTCGATTCCCGGTCCAGTCTAGGAATTTTTCGGGTTGGAAAATTTCTCGACTTCCCTGGGCATAGAAGTATGATTGGACTTGCCACACAATTATACCAATGCAAAAATGGTACAGGCATCGAAAGTTCTCAATTAAGGGGGTAGTACACTTTGAACGTCCAAAAAGTAAGGCATTTTCGTTAATTTTTTTTAAGCAATAAAACAGTCAGGGAGGGCAAATATGTTATAACCCATTTATTTGTCACCCTTCGAACTACAATTTGTATTTTTTTTTAACTCGATTGGCGTCTCCCCGTGGCCGGTGCACCAGGTCGCGCGGGCGTCGTCGCGCGGAAGTCGGAAAACGACGTGGGAGAATACTCCTTTCCATGTGATCCTGGAACATAAATCGAACAAAAATCCTGATTAGTAATGAAATTAAAAATACGTATTCCGATTTTTTTTAAATTAAAAAAGTCCATTTTTTCACCCTAAAAATGCTTACAAAATCGTGGATTAAAAATCCATTTTTGATAAAATCAAAAATGTGAATACGTATTTCTAAGCAGAATTTAATTCTGAACAAGAAAACCTAGGCGATAAAATTTGATGATAACTGGTTAGAGTTATTTCCCACGCCAGTTTGAAAAACCCCGTTTCGAGATAAACGCGTTTAGGAAATCGCTTCGTAAAGCGGTAAGGAATATTCTGGCGGACTTGGAGTCTTTTCTAAATTAAAGTATACATCCCAAAGAACATTTTAAGCCAAAAAAAATGCATTTTTTTTGAAAAATCAAATTGTACTCCCCCCTTAATAACTGTGGAAGTGCATCTAGCACACTAAGTTGAGAACACGCAATAAGCTAATTTGCGATATGCAATAAGCTTGAAATGCGAAGAAGAAGAAGAAGAAGAAGAAGGATAATCGAGCCATTTTTTTCGTTGCCGCTTATCAAGGACAGTTTAATAGATGATGAAAATTAATTGCAAAATTATTTTATTCCTTTTCCCTGATGATGGTCACATATATAGCAATACCTGGAAAACAACTTTAGATTTGATTTTTGGCGAGCAATTTTCATCTCACTTTCTTCAACAATGGCTAAAACCTCCCACAATTTTGATGAACACTCCATGCGTTCATCTGATGGTTTATAGCCACCCACATTGTTGAATGGATCCATGAGCATTAGGGCGGGTTGACATAACAACCCCATGCTCCCTACAGCTGTGCAAAAATTGATCGAATTTGGTTAAGATCTGGATTTGCGGGAGGGCTCTAAAGTTTGCATGAGAAAATGTATGGGAAATAGATGCTTGTTGAAAATTCACAAAATAGCTATTTTTACCAAATCTCGGATATAGATTGAGTATACTAAGCGGAAAAACTTTGCCGAAAACTAAGACCAAGTGTTCTACACATAGCTACAAGCCCAACATTTCAAATCACATCTCAGATATTCTCTCAAATAACAGGTTGTTGAAAATATTTTCTAATCCTACCTTCAGGTGCTCAGACGTCTCCAAAAGTTCTCAAATATTTGTTCAAGACTTCAGTTTGATCAGGATCGTACTAAAGATCTGCCCAAAATTTCGAATCACATCTCCCAAATATCATTTCAAGATACCTGTTTGTTCAGAAATTATTCCAAAGGCCTTCAAGTGAACAGAGATCTTCAAAAAATCCTCACGGTGTTTGTTTTAGACTTCAGCTTTAACAGGTATCATTCTGAAGACACAACAATTACAATCACATCTCCCAGTTATAGTCTGTTGTTCGATAGCAACTCATTGTTGCGGTGCTTGCTCATTGTTTGGTTCGCTTTAGCTGTTACCCCGTTGTAAGCAAACAACTAGTGAAGATGTCGGTGGAAATAAAACTGACGATAAGATTCAGCTTCCCACATAGATCGGCGAAACCATCAATAGAAGTCATTGCGAATTTTGTGAAATCGCTGGATGCGGATCCGTCTCTCGCTAATATCGCATAGCGGAGGAAAAATCTATGCTCAGAAGATTGGATGTTTTATTGTTTGCTACACAACCGTGAACAATTAAATTTTCATTATGCCGATGCAAATTCAGTCGGATTGAAGTCCCGGATAGTGATCTAGCATTGGTGCTAGGGAAATACGGTATATAGCCTCAACGTCATCTGGATCAAGGATGTTCTCCCATACCATGCTAGACAATACATCTATGATGCTACGGCGGTCAGCTTTACGGAAGTAATAAGAAACCGTAGCAGGATAGTCGTCGAAATCACGCACGAGTTTGTCCTCAACAGTGACATTTAGAGAAGGGTGATGTGGAACTGACTTAGTTTGTGCACAAGGAGCCGAGGAAATTAATGGAGCCCTATCCTGTATGCTCACGAAGCAGAGGTCCAAACTACGATCATTTTCGTTAACTACATGGTTAATTTGAGAAAGCGTCGCTGCGCTGTAGTTGTCAAGAAGGCTAATAGCTCCTGCGTGAATCTGCGTAAGGATCTGGGTACAGGAATCCGCTATGAGATGGACTCCACGAAACGCCTGAATATCTCATCAACTGGAGTGGCACTTTCGATAACTGTGAATACTGACCGACAGTGAGTATCGATGAGTTCATTGTCGCGGACTCGATCAGGTGGAATGTACAGAGCGCATAGAAATAGTGTGCGATCACCCAGATTGATGGCTGTCCAAACCTGCTCCACATAGTTCCATGAATCGTTCTCGATGGCCTTTGCCTCCAACCCGTCACGGACAGCGATGTTATGACCATGCTTGAATGTATTGTTTCTTTTCTTACTGTAGTTGATAAGGTTAACATCATTGGGTTTCATTCAGCCTGATGATGTAAAACAACAATAAAACAAATTAATGCTTCATTTTTTGTGTAGGTACCTACTTGATATTGGCGATATGCTTCAAGCATTTATTGTTATATTTTGGCGTGCAAAATTGGAAACTTGTGCAAGATAGGGCGCAAAATTAGGCACCCCGCATCGGTGAATAAAATATTTCGCAAAATACTTGGTTTCCCTTCAAGTGTAAACTTTTATAGATAGTAACACAAAATTATTAATTAAATGCTAATTTAAAATGTTCAACCTAATTTAAAATGTTCATTCAAATAATAACTGCGCAGAATTTAGTACCTTCAAGGTATATTCGTTCAGATCGGAAATGTTGGTATTAGTTTTCAATAATAAAATCACATTTTTCTTCTCATTCCGTTGCAGAAACTGGAAGAACTGAACCAGTTTCCAGACTTTAACAACTATCTGATATACGTGTTAACCAAGTTGAAGACGCAAGATGAACCAACTCGCTCTTTATCGGGACTGATCTTGAAGAACAACATCCGCATCCATGGAACCCACCTTCAGCCAGCGATCATCGAGTACATCAAGCAAGAATGTCTGATGGCCCTCGGGGATCCATCACCTCTGATTCGAGCGACAGTGGGCATTCTTATCACGACCATTGCCAACAAGGGAGGTCTCCAAAGTTGGCCGGAACTTCTACCGACGTTGTGTGACATGCTGGATTCTCAGGAGTATAGCGTTTGCGAGGGTGCCTTTGGTGCGTTGCAGAAAATCTGCGAAGATTCGGCCGACACCTTAGACAGTGCTGCTTTGAATCGTCCCTTAAACATCATGATTCCAAAATTTTTGCAATTTTTCCGGCACTCCAGTCCGAAAATTCGATCTCACGCAATTGCGTGCATCAACCAGTTCATCATCAATCGAACACAAGCCCTCATGTTACATATCGATACATTCATCGAGAATCTGTTCCACCTATCGTCGGATGAAGATCGGGAAGTTCGTAAGAATGTATGTCGAGGGTTGGTAATGCTGTTGGAGGTTCGAATGGATCGTTTAATGCCGCATATGAACAACATAATCGAATACATGTTGGTAAGAACGCAGGACCCGGACGAAACTGCTCTTGAGGCTTGTGAATTTTGGCTTTCGTTGGCGGAGCAGACAATTTGCAAGGAAGCACTAACCCCACATTTAGCGCAATTGGCTCCGGTGCTCGTTCGGGGTATGAGATACTCTGATATCGATATCATCATTCTGAAGGTATGTTAACGTTGATAAGTATTTAATCCCAATGGCAGTACATTATATGTTATTCTTCCTTTACAGGGCGATGTCGAGGAGGATGAAATGATTCCAGATCGTGAAGAAGATATTAAGCCACGGTTCCACAAGTCGCGAACGCATACCCAGAAAGCAGGCAACATAAATTCGCAGGATCAAGGTGCACGGCCGATGGAAGGCAACGATGAAGAAGAGGATATGGATGATCCTTATGACGATATGGACGATGACAGTAATCTTTCCGATTGGAATTTACGCAAATGCAGTGCAGCTGCATTGGATGTTCTTGCAAATGTGTTCAAGGACGATTTTCTCCCAATTCTTCTGCCAATTCTGAAGGAAACTCTGTTCCATCAAGACTGGCAAATCAAGGAAAGTGGAATCCTGGCTTTGGGTGCCATTGCCGAGGGATGCATGAACGGAATGATTCCCCACTTACCGGAGCTGATCCCATATCTGATCTCGTGCCTGTCTGACAAGAAAGCTCTGGTGCGTGCCATCACTTGCTGGACACTATCTCGGTACGCTCATTGGGTTGTCAGCCAGCCACATGATCAATACTTGAAGCCCTTAATGGAGGAATTGCTCAAGCGAATCCTCGATGCAAATAAACGCGTTCAAGAAGCTGCTTGTTCTGCATTCGCTACTCTCGAGGAGGAAGCATGTACGGAGTTGGTTCCCTATTTAGGGTTTATCCTCAAAACGTTGGTATTTGCCTTTGGGAAATATCAACACAAAAATCTCCTTATACTGTACGATGCTATCGGTACCTTGGCGGATTCTGTCGGTCATCATTTGAACAAACCGGAGTATATCAACATGCTTATGCCCCCGTTGATACAAAAGTGGAATATGCTGAAGGATGAAGATAAAGATCTCTTCCCACTGTTAGAGTGTTTGTCCAGTGTGGCCACAGCTTTGCAATCTGGCTTTCTGCCGTACTGTGAACCAGTGTACAGAAGATGCATCTCGTTAATACAGCAAACCTTAAATCAAGATCTAGCTAGCACGGCGAGTCCCGGTCAGTATGAGCTTCCGGATAAGGATTTCATGATTGTAGCCCTTGATCTGTTGTCTGGTCTGGCGGAAGGACTGGACGGTCACATTGAATCCCTAGTGGTCAGCAGCAATATCATGCAGCTGCTCTATCAATGTATGCAGGATTCAATGCCAGAGGTTAGTTTAATTTAATGGTCTCCTGGTGAGTTTAATGATTTGGTTTGTCCCCATAGGTTCGGCAGTCTTCGTTCGCATTGCTCGGTGACTTGACAAAAGCATGTTTCCAACATGTTCATCCGTTCATTGCTGACTTTTTGCCAATTTTGGGTCAAAACCTCAATCCAGAGTACATCTCAGTATGCAATAATGCCACTTGGGCCATCGGCGAAATCAGCATAAAGCTACGTAAGTTTTGTTTTATTTACATGGTTGTTCTGCAAAATATTCTCTAATGCTGATCGATTATCATTTTTATAGGTGAAGACACTAAACCGTACATTCCCCTGGTGTTGGCACAGCTTATTGAAATCATCAACAATCCAAACACGCCGAAAACTCTTCTGGAAAATACAGGTAAACGGCCAATCTTTTGAACCGCAATGTGTCATATTTAGTATAATTTGAAACGCCGTTATGTTTTGGGAATTTCGTTACTTGTTGTTCTTTTACACTACGTTACAAGTTAAGTGTTTTTGTTGAACATATTTGTTTATTTACAAACTTGGAGCAATTCTAGGGCTTCAAATTTCAGTTATTTTTCTGGCATTGTTGCTTTTTTTAATAGCAATTTTATTCATATTAGCCTGCCATCTAAAACTTGTCAAGAAAATCGATGGAAATTTATGTCTCCATTAGCTCTTCTTCTTATTCTTACTGGCTTCGACCCTGTTAAACGAGCTTGTGCCAGTTCTCAACCCACAGCAATTGAATAATCACTTATTCTCTAATCCTTCTCTCTTTCTTTATTAGAGTGAACCGATGCTTATGACAAACAGAATGATACTCTCTAGGCACAATAAGAATGGGAAAATTTCCAGACGAATGATTTTCTATAGAATGAACCGGGAATTAACCACTTAATTCCAGCAGTTAAAATGAAGTTTACTACCACTGTAACTTTAAAATAAAACATTATTTTGAGATTTTTTCATCTAGAACCACGAGAAAAGTAGCCAACATTTGCGCGTTTCATAAAAAAATAGAAATTAGTTGGTACAGTTTTGTGAAATCGCTGGTAGAAAGTCACGCCAAAACTGCTTGACAAAGTGATCAATTGAACACGCAGCCTCATGGGCTTGGCAATGTTTTTTTTTTAATGTTGGCTACACTGAAATAATCAATTTATCGTCATCAGTTGGTAGCAAACGCTGTAAAACTGCATGTGCCTAAAGCCCAATCATGTATCTCATTGTTTGTTCACGTCTGTAAATGTATGATAGAGAAGGAATAATCATAATGCATAATTTTTCTATGAAAAATTTAGAGAAATGTTTTTGATAATTTGGAAACATAATATGGCTGCCATGTTCATTAGACATTGCTTAATAAATAGAATGGTGAATTTGAATGTTTTTCATATTGATCGATTGCAATTGCTTCTTCATATGGGGAGGGTGAAAAATTGGTTCTATTTGACAACTCGAAATTGGTTCGTGCATTACCCAGGTAATACATACCATGCCTTGAATGACTATAGGCTATCTGAGACCCCACTTCTGTTATGGATGGGATAAACTAGTTGATTAGAGATGCCCCGAATCCAAGTCAAATTTGAATTTGAACGAATATTCGGTTTGCCGCCGAATAAAAACACTGTTATTCAAGCGATAGCGTCGAATATATTGGGGTATATTTTGCGAAATTTTACCCACAGGTAGAAGCTACCGTGAAGAACCATAATTTCGTGCACCTAAGTTCCTAATTTCGCGGATTTTTGAAAAATTTAAACTAAATTTTTAATGACGATATTTTGAATTAGGATATAAATCTAAAAGGTATTATTGATTAGTGTATGGGAAAAATATAAATTAGGAAAATATTACAATACACTACAAATCGTTAAAACAAAATGCGCGCAATTAGGCGACATGAGAAATTATGGCACTCCACGGTATTGTATAACCTATGCTCCTAGCAGCATGCATAATGCATCCAAAACCACGTTTACTATCTTCAAGAGTTGATAAATCTGAACAATAAAAGTTAGAAAACACAAAGTAAGGAGGAAAATTCAATTTCCCCAGTGTAGAAATCCGATCAGAAATTTATTATAGAATTTTCAGCCCTAGATTTAGACAACATTTCATTTATTCCATTTTTAATTATTTCCTCAATGTGAATAGGTACTAATTTAAAATGCATTCATATTTTTAAAAATCTTAGAATTACACCGTCAAACAATCCCGTTAAATCATGTGTCATTTTTTCCCTATTTTCTCTGTTTATTTTTCCGTATAGCAATAACAATTGGTCGACTCGGTCTTGTATGCCCCCTTGAAGTGGCTCCTTCATTGCAACAGTTTGTGAGACAGTGGTGTGTAACTAAAATCATTTCTTTCTTTTCTTCGTGCTATGTACCTGCTATTGACAGTTGTGTAATTTATTATATTCGTTAAATGGTGTTTGCTTGTTTAGTAGGATATTGCCAGTAGTATTAAAGTATAGTCGAAATTTTGTTGTTGTTTCATGTTTTTGTTTACCCAACTGTAAAGAGCTATGCATAGTGTGATGCAACTGATGTAGTTTAGAGCGTATCTTGTAATTGTGTTATTTGTCTATGAACCAGGTGCTCGTCGCTGCGAAATATTCGGGATAATGAAGAGAAGGATTCCGCCTTCCGTGGAATGTGCCAAATGATCACCGTAAATCCCGTTGGTGTTGTGCCGGATTTCATATTTTTCTGTGACGCGGCGGCATCCTGGATGAGCCCCAAAGCGGATCTGCATGAAATGCTACAGAAGGTATTGTGGCAGCGCATTTTAGACTGTGAGTTGAACTTAAGGTTTTGCTTTCCTTTCCACAGATTCTACATGGTTTCAAAACCCAAGTCGGTGAGGAAAATTGGAGTCGGTTTGTGGAACAGTTTCCGCAACAACTGAGCGAGCGGCTTTCGGTGATGTATAGCATCTAAGTAAAAGATTTTAGACGTTTCGCTTTATTCAGCGGTATGTAGAGACGCATTTTTAGGTTTTTTTTAAATACCAAATTTATCGAGTTTGAAAACATTACACTAGCATCACAGTTGGAGTGAGATAGGATCAACAGAGTTACTCTTAAAAAAGAAGCCCGTAGTGACAAGAAAATATTATGCTTTCGGTGTTTGGAAATGTCTTGACTAAATACCAATTGTGGTACCAGTAAAAGTGGGTATAATCTACCAGCAAAAGTTTGATTATGGAATGCTAGGAAATATTGACTTCATAAATTAGAACAGTGCTTTTTAGGGAACTGCATATTACCAGTATTTTATTATGACAGGTCATGTGAACCTCTTTTAATTTACCGTTTTATTTGAAGAAGCAGCCGCTTCTTGTATCTTAACATTTTGGTAAAGAATCCAAATCATTGTTATTGATTCGAATATATAAAACAATACCTTTTTTAATCACTCCAACTAGTTAACGTAATGGGTAAATGTAGACCGTATTCGTAAATATGTTTTGCATTCTACGATTGCTCACTTGATGGTGAATTTAGTCACATTTTAGCGCTGAAAATCATAAATATCGAGAAACTTTCCCAATATGAAAAAAAAACTCCTTCACATAAGATCCTTCCTAGAACAAGTATCATGATCAAATAAAACTCCTTACTGGAGACTTCTGATTCTGTTTAACAAAAATAATATGCAATTTATTGTAATTTTGTTTTCCGTCGTATAATGATATCCATAATAAGCTGACCGCCTAAAAATGGTTTCAATCGTTTACGATGCAGTACTTCTGAACCATATGGAGATTTATCATTTATACAAATGTATGCAGTGTGTATGAATGTGTGATCGGAATCGAGTGTATGTGGATACTTTTCAGTTGACGAACGAAACAGGAAACCGGTTTTGTGGGAGGAGCTAAATATAATGCATTGCTCGTTTTTCAGTATAGATTTCATACAGTTTCGTATCTGATATGAAACTGCAATCTATTTTGCCGCGGGCTGCAAAACCGTTTTGATTGTTTCAAATATAGCAATTGAGCTGAAACATTACAAAACACATAATTGTTAAATTTGAAACTGACATAACAATGCGTGATACTTTAATATATATATTCTTCGCCTTTGAGACGTTCTGGTTAAGTTCAAAAAATACGTTCGGTGTATAAACTATCCATTAAAAACATATAATAAACAAAACAAAGAAGTACAGAAGCATACACAACTGCTAACCGTAAGTTGAGAAAAACAAAAAAGAACTTTTGTATATCGGTAAAATCGGGTCGCGTTCGCGTTTCGTCGTCGTTAATCGTCGCTCTTCGGTCGTCGGGATTCGTGTCTTATTAGTTCATTTACTGTTGTTTTTATTTTATTTTTCCCCTATAGAAGAGACCAAAACTATCGTTGAACAGATACTATTTAACAAAAAAAAAAAAAAAAAAAAACTTTGCACAAGTTCCTTCACAGCAGCTAATTGATCGTTTAAGAGAATAAACAAACCGAAAGATGCTATATAATGTGAAACCATGGTGCCATTAGGTAGATAAAAGTAAACAATTATGGTTTTAAAATAAACAATACCACTACAACCGGAAGAAGCTTAAGACTTTTACAAAACATATAAATTACAACAATCTAAGGAAATTTAACACTGAACAAACTTTGAAGCGAAAGAAAAGTCACAAAAACTGACAAAATTGACTAGCGGCGGTGTGTTAGTCAATAATATTAACATTAGGTTAACAAATCAAAGACTGAAAAACAAAACATATTTCCTCAAATTGAAGCAAATCTCTTCGTTACTTATATTTGTGTTCTAGCTGCGGAGTATTTCGAGTAGTTTTTTATAAATACAACTTTGCACATTGAATAATATCTGTTCAATAACAGCAAACATTTCTGAATGTTTATAGAAGTAGTTTACAAATTTTCTGTTTTATTTCTTATATAGCTCGTCGCCGCGTATCGTGTCGTCGTATCGTTAAATGGAAATCGTCGCGTTCGGTCGTTTCGTATAAATAAGTCGCGTCGCGTTCGGGAAAAAAAAAACAAATTCGTATTCGTGTATCGTTCCGCCGGAAATCGTTGTGATATATAACCGTGTTCGTTCGTTGTTAGGAGTTTATATATAATCTTATTTTTTGTTTCATAGGTTTCAGTTAACAAATTTTTAGGTTTTTACTCTAGGAAAATCGCGCGTCATCTATCGGGTTCGTGTAACACTGAGTGAAAGCCCTGTTGTTGGTCCGCCGCGTAATACCACAATAAAAGGTGCTCGTAAATAAACTGACTTTAAGTTTTAAGGTATATCATGAAATGATAATTTATAGTATGCAAATACATACAAAATTGTGTGGGTACGTTACTCACTACGTCAGCATCCGACGATTTAATGATTGGAAAAAAGACAGTGCTCAGCACTTAGTTTCAAATCCTTAAGATCATTTTTATTGCCAAATGCTAAGATAGAAATCGGATACCAAGTCATCAATCATAAAAACAATCACAAAATTCATCTGATTACTAACAGAGATTATAAATTACTCATTATTCTGTAAAAAAAAAAGAATCTTACTCAACATTACTTCGTCGGTATTGTGGGCCCAAGGTAGCACTGTCTCATCAAAATTTCCATTATTCAGAAGGAAGTCTTTCATTTGAATCTTAGTTCCAATATACATTCGAGAAAAAGAAACAACAAAGCACTAGTTAATAGATCAGGATCAAGTGTAGAGAAATGATATAGATGACAAACTTTATATTGACCACTGTGCATAGTTTATACAAAGAGAAAAGAAGAAAAGAAAAACTAAGAAAATCGTATGTACCTTAAATCGAGGCAGAAATAAACCAATCCACGGGGAATTGGTCGCGTCGCGTTTTTTTCGTCGCGGAATCGTGTGATCGTATTTTAAAAGAAGAATATCTAAAACCAATAAACTATTAAAACGTAAAGTCTGTACACCTAAACGTAAAATCTACATCAGAGAACGCAACAAAATGCAATAAGTCTAAATTATGATTAATGACAAGTTTCCATTGCCAGTCGAGGCAGATAGAAAGAAAAGAATGAATGATACACCGGCTATTGATTATTTTGTAATACCAGCAACAACCTCTTCAACATACAGGCCGAACTATACTTAAACAAGAGATGAATTGCTATTGTAGCGTAGTTAATATTATTACAAGAGCTTGCATGAGGATCCAGTGTGTCTGTGTTTGAAACGCATGTTTGATGATATGTATTTGCGAGAAAAAAAAGTGCTAAGATTACAAACAGAAGTCTCAAAAGTCCCAACTCTTTCCTATTCCTTCCACCACCAAATCTACCAAATGTCCCAAAAGTATCCAAAGACAAATACAAAAATCCCTTTAAAATATCGAAAATAATCAAAACTATTCGTCTAAAAGTCACAAATAGCGTAGTAACCAGCAGATGGCAAACTAAAACCAATTCCGAACAAATATTGTATCATTAATAGATTAAAAAGACCACCAACTATTGTGCAAGTGCATGTACGTACACACACCCATCGTAGTCTCAGTGTTGTTTTCAGTTGTGAAGCGAGTATAACTTGATTTCATTTTTTCACACATTTAAATGGATATCTATCTACAAAAGGACATTGCAACGCAGGTTTTAGAATATACCCTTCTAATACAATCTTCACTATTAGTGCTATATCAGAACTGCAACACAAGCTAATGAGCATAGTTGGGAAAAGTAGTGTGTGGCGGTAGGGTTTCCTTCAATATGTAATAATGGAAACGTTCAACATTTCTTTTATACATTGGAAAGTATGGCAGAACATAGCTTTAAAGTTTAACCTTATTTGAATAATACACAAAATTGCAGAAATAATAAACTTTTCTTACCTTTGATCAATGATGACATCTATTAGCTTATACAACATTGCTTAGATTCCCAGCATTCATAATAATTTTGTCTCAGCTGGATTTGTTCACGATACAGTGGTTGCATAAGGAAGTGACGGCTTCGGTACTTATTTACCTATTATCGTATGATGCACCCTACATGCAAAAAATCAGCAGTCAAGAGGTTGACCGTTACAAGCCGTTACTACCCCTATTCGTTTTCCATCAGAGCAGTGTTCCACGTCAACTGACGAATCGATCAAACTTTACCCTTCGAATTAAATGAAACTTTGAGGCATATTCTATGCAGCGTGTGACTCTTCATTTGATTTGCACGGAGACTCACCTCACCCGAGGTGACAATTGTCTCTTTATCATCACTTCACTGTCACCTCACCTCACACGCCACGGAGAATAGGTCTATTTGCACAATTGATCGTTGTGGGTAATAAACCATGTTTGTGCTGGAATTCGACCTTTTTGACTCGCGCCTAATTCGAAAAATCTTAGCACGAAAATGGCTATTCTTATCGAAAAATAACGTTTGAGACTGTAGGGAAATAGATGGCCTTTCATAAAAAAATATCACAATCTTTGGTAACAAATCTGTTAAAAACTTCATTGTTACCTCTTCTAACTTTCATTGTCTTCTTCTTCTTCTTCTTCTTCATGAATCCAACCGATGGATATTCGATTTCACTAAAAAGGTCTGTCCGGACTCAGTTTCAGCACAACATATTCTCCGAGAAACGTATCCAAGCGGCGGCTCTCTGCATAGACCATTCACAATGCTGGAATTCTCTATTGTTCTTCTTTCATCGAATAACTCCTCACGAGAAGCGATAGGAATAAACCTCTAGTAAATCTTAAGTTCGTGCTGTGTCACAATATTTCATTGCGATCAAGTGAGTGGGTTAGGGCCTTTTCATAAACTACGTAGACAGTTTTTTGGGATTCTCGACCCCCCCCCCCTGCGTAGACAATTTTCCATACAAAAAAATTAAAATTAGTATGGGCCGTGGATAATTGTCAACCCCCCCCCCCCCCACACACTGTCTACGTAGTTTATGGACAGCCCCTTATGGGTTGCATTTTGCACTTATGTTTAGATTTGGAATTAGTATGGAAATCACACAGGTACTACCTTTGAATTTGGTTTGATCGAGTGGCGATTTTCTTTTCTTTAGATCAAGACGATGACATTTTGAAGAAGACAACGATCATAAATCACAAGAATAAAAAAAGTTGGTCGCCGTGTTACACATGGAAAACTAGTGTGAAACAGGATATCATGAGATCGGGCCATTCCTTGAATTTCTGGGAAGAGCTGGCAAATAACAGAAAACAATTTCAAAACGCCACCTACAAACTGTAAATATGATACAATGGTTGAATCTGAGTACGAAGCGAGCGATGGAACAGTGTCAGACGATAGCAGCAGCGATGACCTTTACCCAACGAAATTCAAGGGATTCCCTGATGAGGAAATAAACGCCATGCTAGGTTTTTATCGGACTCGTCAGACCTATAGCGGGCGGCGTCATTAAGAGCGCCAACAACAACATCACGGTAAAGTCAGGCATCATAAACAATCAGGTAATTTCTTACTTATTTTACCTATATTTTACTTATAATCGAATTAACCACCTTAAGTTACAGCCATCTATGAATCGACACAAACCCCCTCCATTGACTCTTCCCTTATGGTAGCTAATCCATTAATGTTGAGATGAGGTCTTGCCGATACGTTACCCTGCCGGTGATGTCACTGTGGCTCGCCCTGTTTCACATTCGTGGATTACACAGAACTTATTTAACCTTCTGGTAAAGATGCTGTGATGCCACCCCTGTCTACTGTTCTTTTGAGTTCTTTTCTTTCCTGTAATGATCATTATTCGCATATGGCCAATTTAGAGAATTTTACTTGATTTATTTATACGTTGGTCAAATTTGGATTTCAAATTGTAATGCTAATTAATTTCAGATAAGAGATGCGGTTGTTGGTCAAAATTGGATTTTTGCTGACATAATTCTAGATTGGTTCTGGAGCATTTTTAACACATAGTGCTTTATGCACTAATATTTTTCTTGTATATGTTTCTGAGGTAAAAGTAGCGGGATCGGAACCTTTAATTTTGAAGGAGTAATTCAAGTTTAACGTGATTTAATAATCAATAATAGTGTATAGTAATGTGGGTCTGGCAATGTTTACATAAAGTTCGCCCCTGGGGAGGGATATGATTAGATGGAAGCTATTAAAGGATTGGAACACAATGAACAGGTGGGACTAACATTCAATGAGAGGAGTTTTTAGTGTATTATGTTCAGGTTTTGATAAAAGCGGATGGTGTGGATGATCATCTCGATAAACTACCAACAGGCATTATGCATTAATAGGGGATACTGGGGACACTTGGTCCCTTGGTTGCTCGAAATTCTGAGCATATTTTTTCAGGTAAATTTTCACAAAGTTTCGTCTAAACGGAAGGTAATGTCATGTTGATATTTGCTTCAGATTGTGGAACGAATATATTTTCGAGAGCAATTCGTATGTTTTCATTGCCTTTGATTTGTGTTTAATATTGAAAAATGTTTGTACATGCTATACAAACAAGCATTTGTAAGTTTTTGAATGCATAACAACTACCTACTACTATATAATCTAAGGCGGATTTTGATTTGGAATTTCTTTATTTTCCCAATGTACAACATAGAAAAATATAATGCTACGTGTAATCAATTTAAGTTAAATAGAGGATAATAATAGGGCCTCAGCTAACCAAGTCAATAAGGCACGGTATCGGCTCCTGGTCCGGTTCTTTAACATATTTCAGGTTAGAAATGTTCTCGACTTTTTACGTGACTTATTGGAGCATAAGTCTACTCCGGTCGTTTTTTACCCGAGGGTCGTCTTCCTTCCACATCTGTGCAGATTGTGTAAAAAGTGAATCAAAATCCCTTTTAATGTCCAAGCATACTGAAGTCAATTGCTCCTTGTGCACAAAGGTTAGTTAAATATCGGTGGAAAGCAGCGCTAGACAATCGTTTGTTTCTTTCCTCTTGCGGAATCCAAACTGAGGTCGGTGTGTTTGAATGGTTGCGATATCCTACGCAGGTGTGGAAGCTGCCTTCCTGCACATTCGATTACCGTCAATCGATGTCCGTCGGTGATTGACACTAGATTGTAGAACAGAGACCGACGTTAAATAAAGGGAAAAAAAGAACCCAAACTGTGTATTTGATAGCAAGTTATTTGATTCGACCCAGTGATCGAGTCTCCGAAAGATCATTTTCTCCAACAATTTCCTAATGCTCGAAAGCATAGCAATCGGACATAACTCATACGCTCAAACGCTGGTTTGTCACGTTTTTGAATAGCTATCACTTTGACCGGTCTCCATTTAATTTATTTAATTTTACCATATCGCTTCCCGGTGAGGAGTTGTTCAATGAAAGAAGAGCTATAGAAAATTCCTGGATTTTGAATGGTCTATCCAGAGAACCGCCACTTGGAAACGTTTCTCGAAGAATATGTTGTGCTGGAACTGAGTCCACACAGACCTTTTTAGCGAAACCGAATATCCATCGGTTGGAGTATTCTTCACTCTCATTAGAAGATGAGCGGTTACGCATGTTGCGAGCCACCCTTCACAAGGTGTGCATTGAGGTTTCTCGTGAGAGTCCATCGACGAAATTGCGCCAATCACAATGAAAGCATCAGATTTTTCTACATATAATGTTGTACATTCTTCGTCCCAACCAGGTGTGGCTAGTCTCCTTTTGAAGGGTGCACTTGGAACTTTTCTTTTTTGTGCTTACAGTGAGCTTTTCTATATCAGATCGACGAGGAATCGATATTCTTCCAATGGTGGAGGCAAATATATTGATTCCACACAGATTGTCACCGCCGTCGCATATTTCTCCCAGTATGTACCTTGTAAGATCAAATGGAACTCGAGATGGTTCTGCAGATTGAGAGCCATACTTAATTGAATAGTCAAGTTAAAATCGTTACATAAATCGTCAAAAATAGCCGCTCTATTGTCATCGTATAGATCGCCCCACCCTGTACCATGGGAATTCATATTCATATCCAGAATTAATACTGGGATGGAAGAATCGAAACTTGATTCCAGAGTTGAATACGGCTTATAGAGGTTCTTGGTAGAACGTATGCTGAAGCTATACAAAGATCTTGTTCTTCACATTTATTTGACGAGGGGCGATTTCGACGCCTGATAGAGTTTTTTTTTTTTCCTTTGGTTTGTTTTTTTCCGTCGATCTTGTTTTCCGTGCTGAGCACCAATGCTACCGACGTGCCAGGAAGGCAGCTCCCACACCTGGACCCTACCTATCGACCCATCAACTCATGAACCGGGGACCAACGGCTTTACTTCCCATCCGAAGGAAGGCGTGATCAGAGATGTTATGCCTCAGAACATCCCGGCGGCGCCGACTGGGATTGAACCCAGGCCTGCTGGGGTGAGAGGTAATCACGCTTACCACTACACCACCGGCGCCGTTTCCTGATAGAGTTGGAAAGGAAATTTTGCAGAAAGGTTTCGATCCCTAATCGTCTCTATCCAGTCGTATAATTTTATTGTTGCTCAACAGTATTTCACACAAAACACTGCATCGTTCGACAGCTACAAATATGTCAATGGCAAGCCTCGTGCCCCGCTGATGGGTAAAAGTCTAAGTCAATTTTTCCCTACTATTACATCAGTTTTCCTGCTCTAGCTTACACTTGTCTATTATATATTATACTTACAATTACATGTGTCTAGCTTGAAGGCCGGTTCTAACCAGCCGTTCTATGGCATGACAAAAACTCATGTGCGTTATATCTCATCCATGCGAAAAGGTAATCTGATAAGCGAGATGGTGATAACTCTAATCCGATGAATGAATGCGAAACTATATACAAACATACGGATGAATGCGTCGATGAAAACTATTGCTTTGCCAAGTGTCATAATAAATAGTTGCGTTGTGTTTCCTTGCGTTATCTACTTTCTCCGGTTCGATTAAATAATCTTAGGAGGATGGTTGATTCAGCATACGCAAGACAACACCGGAGTTATCGTCGGTCACTGCCATACTGATGGGAGTCGGTGGTGATAGGGTCGAGCTGCCTCCACCGAAGGTGGCATTGTTTAGCATTGAGGTACCATTTTCTTCAAATGCAACTTCGCATAATCCGGAATCCAGGGCTTCCAGGTAGCACGAGCAGAACAGGGCCACGATGCAAAGAAGCCAATAGAGCGAGAAGCAGATGTACCGGACTCGATTCCAGAATTTTTCCTCGATGTATTTGGTCAGTTCTTCCTTGGTTAGAGCGTACGAATCATAGTTTTGTAGTATGCTTGCGCTGGTATTGTTGTTGGGATCTTCCTCCTGGGGAATCGGAATCACGTAGGATTTCTGGTTCTCCTTGGGCACCAGTTTGGTTTTCTCGTTGATGGTCATTTTGAGTTACTTTTTTCGAACAGAAAAACTAACAAAAGAACAACGGCGACGACTGAGGGTTCGTTACATTTCAACGTTTCAAGCACATGTTAAAATCATGGAAGTTGAGCTCTTTATCGGAAAAAAAGCCATGTTTCAGTAAAAATTTGAACGAGTCTAGTTTAGGAACAAGACTACGACAGTTCCACTGTAGCACAAGTATCATATCTTCGACGTCGTTCGATGAATTATCCATCGAAATATATGATGGCTATGGCCATGAAACAGTCAATTGCTTAAGATATGATTTTAATGTTGAAAGTAAGGCAGATGACAAGATGAAATTTGTACTCGTTACTTTTTGTGTGAGAGTTACTTTCATGATTTTCCTTATTAATTTTTGATTGTCTCCGGTATTACATCAGATTCGGAATTCTGTGCAGAACATTTCAGGAATTCCCTCCAGAATACTCTGGAAATTCACTCTACATTTATCTTCGTACCCTTCTTAATTGCTTTGAGAAAACTCCTGGAATTTTCTTAGCATTTTCTATGAAATTCTCCTAAAACTATCCTAAGAATTGGAAATTTCTTATGAATGTCCTGGAACGCTACTCCGATTTTCTTGTAAATAATGTTTAACATTTACTCAAGGGACATTCGCTGGAAGTTACTTGAGACTATCGTCAAACCAGCTTGAAATTCTACATAGAAATCTTTTTTAAATTTATATTCAGAATCCAGTTCTTTGAAAGTTATTATAGATATCCAATTGGAACTCTCATCAGAATTCTATGATTGATCGATTTACATTACAATTGTATGTCGTAGGTGATCAAGGGTAGTGTCATAATTGTTTCCAAATCGTCATTAAGTTTGTCGGAATTCGTTCAGAGGTGCTTAAGAATTCCCCGGAATTCTACTTATAATAATCCTGATAATGGTATCTTCATAACTACCTTGGTATTCATTTAGTTTTCCTGACATTTCTTATGAAATGCTTCTCAAAATTACCTGACATTTTTAGTCAAATTCCCCTTGAATTGTCCTCAGAATTTTGCTTTTTTTCACAAGATTTTTTTCTTGTTTTCACACACACTTAAATAAGAAACACCGTTGGAGTAAAGATAGTCCCCCAGCTCAGAGACAATCGTCAACGCCAATGGATCACTGTATGCTGTCAGTTTTGACTAAGATAAAAAATTTAACCGGAAAAATAATGTACATATGGAGATTTGAACATTTTTCCAAAAATATCTATTTTGGAAGCGAAAACAGAAAAAAATCCACTTTTTTTAGAAAAAGTCCTTATTTCGTTCAATTTAACGTTTTCCGGTTTTCTGCATACAAAAAAAATTCACTTTTTACTAACTACTTGTAATAGCGACATCTGTTTAAAAAATCAGCAATGCATTTAATCCATATGAAGTTTGTTCTTCTGGAACAAAAGGGGCATTAATTTTTGTATAGACGTATGTTCGGGATAGTGGTCATTCATATGTTTTCATGTTCATGTTCATGTTGTAGGCGTATTAGTTACTTCGTGGACACCATCACAGATTCAACTACTCAACATACAGAAACGTCAAAACATTATTTCCACATTAATACAACCAGCAAGATAGCTTACTGTCAGTGCATTTAGTGTCAGTACTTCAGTTTCGAACGAAAACAACAGATGTTGTGCAAGCTTAAGGAAGGGATCAGTGGAAGAATAAATTTCGTTAAAATTCCCTTTCCGTTTTGGTCAAATGATTGTTACTTAAGTGTAGTATCAGGTATTTCCCAATATTCCTCATAAAAAATCAACGAGAAACGTGAAGAAGGACGTGGAATAGTGAAATCGATATACTGCTGGACATAGGGCTTTGATGACACCTGTCTGAGATGTCCGTTCGCAATCCCACTACGCTGATGTCCATCAGCAATGAAGAAAGTTTTGATTTCCTGTTCAAAATTGTTCTAATTGGAGATTGTGGGACAGGTAAAACCTGCATCGTGCAGCGCTTTAAGTCCGGAAATTTCATCGAAAGCCATGGCAACACAATCGGAGTGGATTTTTCGATGAAAGCAGTCACAGTGGATGGGAAAAAAGTTAAGGTATGTATAGCATGTCGTTCGTTTCACTCTCACATGCATTCTAGGGGAAAAGCGTTTTTTGTTGTATTGCCTATCGCATATCAGTATGTTTTTACACGGGACAGCTATTACCTTGCTGAGAGATAATTAATTAGCATGATAATGGATGTTAGGTTAGTTAGGTCTTGTTCTATGCGCTCCTTTGTGGTTCAGAGTATTTTTTTTTAACAAAAACTAATTATGCAATTCCAAAAAAATAGACAATCCCTGGAGAAAGAGGACTCTTATACCTCTAATAAAGCGATTTTCAACGCGTGACGAATATTTTGCACACAAAGGAAAATCACTGCTCCAATCTAATAAGCAACGAAGTCAGGCGCGGATTAGGCGCGTGATCGCGTTCATCGATACTTAGTAGTTGTTTTTGCTTCGGCATTCGCAGCGTAGGTTTTACTTTCGACCGTGCCGAAAGTAAACGTTTTTGTTAAAGTAAATATAGTTGGAGATACATTAATGAGGCACCAAACGAAACCTCTGCCCGTACATCTCGCGCAATTGGGACACTGACCTTCTCGTTTTTGTATTTTGTTTTAGTCGCTTCTCAGCCCAAGGATGTTCGCACTCGGGCAGGAACTACCTATATGATATGGCTTCTTGGTGTGAAGTTAGTTCTTCGGAGTTGATTTGTCTGAAGTTTTTATTTTTGCGCGCTCATAAAATTGTGAGTCATCCAACAGAATAGATTACATCGTAGTTTATGCGTTTCCACACGCCAGCCAGTTTATGAGTTCTCATATTTAAGTTTTGACGCGATTAGTCTTCTTATTTTTCGTAGATTTTTATAATCCAACTTGGGTTTATGTCCTGTTTTGAATCAACTCCTACACATAATCTTATTATGGAAGAAATGTTCAGAATTGTAGGGGAAATCCATGTAATACGGACATCTTAAGGCTTGTTATTCTTTTATCATTAATAAATCCAGTATTTTGCTATTAATATCAGTATTGGATGCAGAATAAGAGCTTATTACGAACTAGATAAAAAAGAGGGTAAGACGAAATGAAAATTTAATGTTTCTACAATATAAAACAATCGAAAAAATTCAATGATTATCGTAAGTTATTATGAGGACCCAAAAACACATTGATCACGTCAGGTGGTAAATGTCATGGATATGTTATGGGGGAAAATGTCTTGACATTTGTTCTCCCATACAATTTAGTGATGACATCCCTGTAAAAATAAACATTTACCACATCTGTAGGGTAAAGGGTGTCCACGATGAAATTGCCACACACAAAATTGATTCGCAAAATTCGAGTTTTCATCCGATTGCCATCAAATTTTCAGGGATTGAGAAATAACTATTAAACTTCATTTTACCATTTTACTCGTATTTTATTTACAGGCCATACGCAAATGCCCGCACCTTGGCCTTAACCCCGGCCATAAGATTCTGCACAACCTGTGAATCAACCGTTTTTTGCATGTAAACCCATACTTTCTTCAGTTCCTCGACTGTCTTCACTACCTTAGGTCGTTTAAGAAGGTGCTGCTTCATAATCGCCCAGTACTTCTCTATGAGGCGGAGCTCCGGAGTGTTGGGAGGGTTGAACATTTTCGGCACGAAATTGACCTTATTGTCCGCATACCACTTCAGCACGTCCTTGGAGTAGTGGCATGAGGCCAAATCCGGCCAGAAGATTGTTGGGACGTTGTGGGCCTTCAGGAGAGGAAGCAGCCGCTTCTGGAGGCACTCTTTTATGTACACCTGTCCGTTCATCGTGTCCTGGGTCACGAAAGGTGCACTCCGCTTCCCGCACGTGCAGATGGCTTGCCAAACCAGGAATTTCTTCGCAAATTTGGACATCTTCTGAGTGCGGACATGCTCCGGAACGCTGAACTTATCCTTGGCCGTGAAAAACAGGTTGCCGGGGATCTGTTTGAAGTCGGCCTTCACATAGGTTTCGTCGTCCATGATGCAGCATTCAACTTTCGTCAGCATGTTGACGTACAACTTCCTGGCACGGGTTTTGGCGGACTTGTTCTGCTTCTCGTCGCGATTAAGGGCCTTTTGTACCTTGAACGTTCGAAGCCCAGCCTTAGTTTTGGCCTTCTGGACAAAACTTCGGCTTAGGTGCAGCTTCTTAGCCACATCCCTAACGGAGGCGTTCGGATTTCGGTTGAAGGCCCCAACTACGCGGTTGTGATTTTTGGTGTTGTACGGAATACTTTTTCCTTCACTTCTGGGCTTCCGATCGGTGGTCAACCGTTCCTCGAACCGCTTAATCACTCGCGACACCGTGGAATTCGCGATTCCCAACGTTTTAGCGATGGAACGATGCGAGAGATCCTTGTTCTCGTGATGAATGCGCAAGATTTTATCACATACGAGCTGTTCTTTCGACTCCATTTCCGCGAGTTTTGATCACAGGACTTTAAAACTTGCAGGATGTAAATAATGCACTATGAACTAAATCCACCCAAATTTTCATTAAATTCTACCCAACGGTTAAAAAGTTAGAGCAATTTCATAGTGTGGCAATTTCATCGTGGACGCCCTTTACTCCGGGAGCAGTGGGAATCTTATCGTGTGAAACATAAAATCACAATAACATTCAAGAACAAGATCATCAGCGGTGATGGTTTATCTATTTTGGATATATATATTTTCCTTGATCAGACGTTGATGTTGAAGTCATACTGGAATTCCACAATCAATTGGAGCGGCATGCCCGTTGCATCGTTGATTGCTTCAATCGTTGAACTCTTGATCGCAACGCAAGTCGTCCCTGACACTTCCAGGTATTCTTTGAAATCACCGTGATATCGTTCGCTGTGTCAAATTGCAGTTTGGATTCCACGCCGTTGATTAATGCAGGCACAATGCTCCGCTTGCATGACTGTTGAGCGATGCGATTAACGATGACAGCTTTTCTGGACTGTACCTTTTTGGTCTTGATCGGCTAGTTCAATGACTTATTTTCTTCTCCTTTTCGATCTAATTTGGATGTTTTGAAGTCACAATAGCCTTCCTTGTAGCCAACACTGTTTGCACTGATGATCTTCGGATCCAATCGGGCAAATCAAGAAAAGGTACATCTGATCACATTGCTGCCAACAAGGTGTGCAGGACGATTTACCATCCGTTTTCGAAGACTGCTGCTGATGAAAACCTCCCTTCTTATCCTGTACTGCGTGCACCGCTAGTTTTGAGCATGAGTGACGCTCGATCATGGTGGTGTCCGCCTTGTAGTTGACGAGCCGTTGAAATTCGTCGATAAGGATTTAAAGGGTTAAGGGAGCTTCTGCTGTTTCACCTCCGGTCCGACAAAGTAGCCTGGCTCTTTGCGTGGCAATGTGTCTTTTGATCAATATTGAAGTCTAAATCTTCACAGGTACGATTCACCCTTCATAGCTGATGATGTCTTTCGATTCTAATTTTATTACCTGTATACATTGGTAGCGATTGTTGAAGAGCTTGAGGTCTGTGTTCCAAAAACCTTCTTGATGGTTTCGATGTATACCATACCAATCAGAGTAAGGCCTTGATGTCCGCTGCTATCCGAAGAAGTCGCCAGTCTTGTAATCTGCGAAGGGTCCGCAGGTCCTCTTCTACTTGGTCGATCAATTTTGCCCCCTGTGCGCAGCTTCTTCTTATTCCAGTTGGGTCGCTTTCGATAACCATTATTACTGGGTCGTCGTCCTACATTCTTCGACGTGCCTAGCCCACCGTAGACGGCTAATTTTTGCAGTGTGGACGATGCATGGTTCTCCCAGCAGTTGATTAATTCGACTCCTCCACGTTTCGTCATCCATCTGCACTCCGCAGTAGATGGTCTGCAACACTTTCCGTTCGAATACGCTGCGTTGGTCCTCCATGAACATAGTCCAGGTCTCGTGGTCGTAGAGGAGCACCGGGCTGTCAGCTTGTAGGTAGTCAATATCGTGGTAGTCGATGTCATCGACGAAGCCAAGAAGCTGGATGGACTTTCTAAAGATCGTGCCCCTCATGTCTATCCCAGCTCTTCTTATGACACCTTTCAACGCGGGTTTTGATGGTGTCTGTGAAGTCAACATCTCTGAGAAGCTTTGGCACAATATCGTGGTTGGCTTCGTCGATGACATCGACTACCACGATATTGGCTACCTACAAGACGTGGTCCTCTACGGCCACGGGACCTGGACTATGCCAAAGATATCTAATTAACAAGATATCCCACTAATCAATTCAGGTGTCAGCATGATAGATGTCAATGCGGACGTTGATGATCAGCCGAGGACGATATCATCCTCGAAGTCATCATCATTATATTGCGGTAGCAAGATTCTTACTTGTTTGTGATTGTTCCGATTTTCAATCATTACCACTTTATACGCAACAGAAATACTTGAGAAAACAATCACACATCCAAGCGCGCATCATGATGTGTTTGTAATATGTTTTGCTTTCGAGCGAAAGAGTTTCCAATATACCACCGATATCAGTAAGATGCAAATCTCTAATAGTAATTGATGATTTGCGGAGTTGGTGCTCAAAAGAATCTTAATAAGCATAGAATTTAACATGGGAAAAGCATTCACTCTCTCTAAAGAATTATTCCAACACCCCATTCACTGGAAATGCAACCTATCGAAATCATTGCTAAACGTAATAAAATATGCCGTCTTCTTGGGCCAACGCAGCACGCATTCTATTCAAAAATTACATTGGAATAATCATTACTTTCATATTTTATAACGTAGGAAGTATTTGTCAACGCCGGTAAAAGCAAACGCAAACGGAAGTAGCCGAAGCTGAATGAAGACGATGAGTGATGACGGTGATGACACCGCTTCGTGTTTTGATATGCGCTGTACCGTCCGCTGAGTTGTGTGGGTTCGTACATGTATAGGTGTTGGTGTGCGTGTTTTCTTCCAACGCTGCAGTTCAACGTTGTCTCGTCACAAACCGTTTGGCGCTGTTATCTGTCTCTAAAAAATCCAAGGAGTGAAGGGGGTCTGACTATGCTCATGGAGGACCAACGCAGCGTTTTTGAACGGAAAGTATTGCCGACCAGGCGGAGTGCAGAAGGATGACGGAACGTGGAGGAGTCGAATTAATCAGCTGCTGGGAGAACCATGCATCGTTCACACTGCAAAAATTAGGCGTCTACGGTGGACTAGGCACGCCGATTTTAACGGTTAAAATATCACAATTGAGTGCCAAAAATTTTCCTGCAACATCACATTGAAAACTAATTCTTCTATCACTGAGAGTAAACTGAAAACTATTCTTGTTGATAACAAAACGAGTATTCAATTTTATAGGGTAGAGAACTACCAACAATCAATACGAAACTAACGATTTTAAATTGGCTCACCGCTTTAGTAGCCTATTGGTCCCAAGCAAACGAATAACGTACCCTATTCTAGTTGAAATTCTATTACTACACTATGTTTGTTTTGATTCGCTATGAAAGTTTGACAGATAACATCAGGGGTGTGTGGATTCATGCAGAACATGCAGGGGTGAGTGAAATAGCTTGGGACTGCTTGGGACCGTTGTTCTGGTACTGAGTGAGCCAAAAATAATAATGATTTTCTTCGGGACCCAGTGGTCTTAGAGTTACCTCTATGGAACTACTTCGTCCTAATCGCCCATTTTGGGCCTATCGAGCAGAAAATTTCAAATAAACCCATGATTTCAGAGTTAACAAGTCAATTATGCGTTTGGAACGAACTTTAGTTAGTAAGCTACCGAACGAAGAACGCTTGATATGAAGGTTTGCAACCATTATTCCCAAAAACACAAGAAGCGCTCCGACCGAATCAATTTTTATTCATCCGATAGGCCGAAGTGAATTCATTGGCGTTTCAATGCGTTAGGTCGAGTTTAGAATCCGTAGGCCGAGTTTGGCGTCAAGAAGCAGTGTTAGACTTTTGACAATATCTCAACGATTGGTTTCTCTTTATCAAATCTTACGGAAAGGTAAATAAATTTGGAAGCCATCAGAAATAATAACATTCCTTTTGGTGCTAAACTGCGCTAGATTAAGAAAGACTAAGTGCGGGTTGTGCTTAAAAGGCCGGAAATGGGGTAGTCAACCCTATTATGATAAGGCAATGAAAACAAGATTTTACATATTTTTAAAGAGCAAATGTATAGCAAAATGAAAACTTGTTGTCAAATTTTTCATTCGCGTAGACTGAAAAAAATAATTATGATTTCAGTTTGATGTTGATATCAAAATTTGATATCGATTTGCTGTCATTTTGATGCTGGACTTTGCTCGGACATAATACACAATTATGCAAAGTTTTATGCAAATCGGAAAAGGTCGAATTTTTCCGATTCGTCAATTGGTGTGGAAGTGCTCTGTTGCTTCTCACAGTCGGTATGTTATTGGCTCCTATAAATTTTCATTTGTGAATTGAAAAATCTGCTGATAATAATTGTTTTGCAAAATGCTTTACCAAGTGAGGAAGATAGCTGCAGCCTCAGCTCATGAGAATACACACCAGTGCCTGCTATATCTTCAAGTAGGGTGCCATCAGTATAACATACAATGCATAATGGTCATGGTCACAAGCCGTATTTAGGTAGACAACAATGTTTATGCTTAAACCGTTAGTTTTAGATACATGGAGTCTTCAGAAAAGTTGTTATATATTTGTTGGTCTATCTTTTGATACTAGGGAATTGAGGGTGGTCCCTTTGGTTATTGAGTTAAAAATATCAACATTTCAACGCTCTTTTATGGATGAATGACTAAAAAGGCTGATAATATACAACAAACAAACGAACATCAGGTTTTTTTCATCCTCTGGATAATTTATAGTTTGTAGATTCTTACTTTTTATATTGTATTATCGTCCATACTAATTTAATTCGATAGAAAAAAATATTAAACAATACAATAATCTTTTAGCTTCAAATTTGGGATACTGCCGGGCAAGAACGCTTCAGAACCATAACGCAGAGCTATTACAGATCAGCAAATGGCGTTATAATAGGTTTGCACAAAGATTTCATTTTCTGCCCTTTCAAGTTAATTTGATAATGATTCATTCTAGTGTACGACATCACAAAACGTTCCTCCTTTCTCAACCTGCAACGATGGATCGACGAAGTACGCCGTTATACGGCTTCCAATGTGATGATATTCGTCATTGGTAACAAGTGTGATCTAGACGCCATACGAGAAGTTGAATTTGCTGAAGCGCAAACAATGTGCCAATACATACCGGAGATCATGTTTGTGATGGAAACGTCGGCTAAGGACAACAGGAACATTGAGGATGCCTTCATGACACTTGCTACCGAGTTGAAGGTGCGCTTCAAAAATTTCAGTTAAAGCATATGTGATCTCATTTTTTTATATTTCTTGCAGAGGAGGCATGACAACATAAGTTCAGATGATACAACTGATGGTATAACGCTGGGCCAAGGAATGTCTCTCTCGGTTAGTAATTGCAGTTTGTGTAGCAGGACGTGAATGAATGACGTATGGAAATATGTAATTGTTGAATCTCTTCATGTTAGAGATGTACCCTAGTGTCACGGACGTAACTGTATATAGTATAATAATTTTTATGGTCTACAGAATGTATGAATTAATATATATAATAGTTATGAAACGTGTTAGATTTTATAAATGGAATTATATTGTATGTCTCGCACTATCAGTACGTCAGGTGAAGATAAAGCAATACCTAACGTTACGTAGTTATAACCGTCATTTGAAAAAGCATCCAAGAAGCAGCTGAAGGCTAATCATTCTTGTATGTATGATTTTATTACGTACTTGAATGTTATGTCTAACATTGTCTCAACAGCCATGTCAACACACATAAATTAAAAAAAAAAAACAAATGTATAATTTTCTACGAAAATAACTGTAAACTAAGCTACTTGATAAACTTCAGGCGCCTTGGGGTAACGTAACACAATGTGGTTTTAATCTATCAAAATTCCGTGTATTTATGAAATCGAGTTTCGTTTCATCTTAGCTTCCGACATTGTGATTTAGACAGCCTATAATTGTAATGTATCATGTTGCATACAGAGAGGTTAATTTTCAAAATACTTGATCCAACGTATCGTATTTTATTTATTTCCATCAGTTTCAAAACAACCGCATCTACAATCAAATGAGTCATAATAATTTTCAATTGATATTTTACATTAAAACCAGAAAAAGGAACCTGATAACACGTGTCAACCCAATCAGAGTCGGTTAAATTTTGAGCCAACTTGACCCAATGTCGAGTTGATGTCAAATTGGTGTCTGGTAGAAGTCAATTTGTTGCTGGATTGGCTCATATTGTCCACAGGCTTCAAAACTTATGGTTACGGATTTCAAGCGTTTTTCTATTGAGGATGTATTGTATATTGATTTGAATAACATTATAAAAAACCGGTTTTCCCAAAACTTTCACCACTTGTGAAATATTTCATTTCTAGTCTCAACATGAAGAGAAAACTCTCCTGTTTCGAAGATTTCGGGAATGCCCTGAGAAGTGATCAGATGCCAGCGCTGTAGTGAAGGATTCGTGAAACTAATTATATTTAAATTGAACGTTAAATGCGTTTACGACGATTGAGGATTAAGTTTGTTTGTCTGTGGTGAGGTGATCTAGAGGAAGAAGCAGCACTATGACGAGCACCTGAACGGCGAAATAACAGAGGAGCACGTGCAGAAGACGACAAACTTCCAATAAGTCGGGAGGAGATCAGTCGGCTAAAAACAATAAAGCCACGGGCGTTGATCAACAATCAAGCAAGTTCTTAAAATACAGTTGATAAACAGACGTCGAGTATCGGCGATACTCTCGAGTCCCTTCGAATCTCTATTAAGATTACATCAAGGTTATGAGCTATCGTGTCTGCTGTTTAACATCGTTTGGAAGGTGTGGCAACTGTCCAAATCATTACGCTCCGGCAGATCCTACAAATGTGTCACTAATATAAAGTCCCTATGCACCACTTATTCATTGATTTCAAGGTCGCTATGGAAGATTATGAACGAGAACGGATGGATGATGTGCAGTGCTATGCGAAGATATCGGGTGCGTTATCGGACTCGTTCAAAACTCGCAAAGGACTTCGACAGAGGCTTCGATACTAAATAAATCTAGTCAGTTCATCTGCTTCGTTGTAGGCGTTCTTTAATTTAATGTGAATAAGTCGAGGACAAAATATCTGTTGGCTGAAGGAACCGAGCACGATAGGGTTCGCATAAACAGAAGAGATGAGTTCGAGGTGGTAGATGCATTGGTGTACCTTGAAACACTGTTCAACAGTCCCGCAAAAATTATGTTTGTCTCAAATCCGTCCGGTACAAGACGCAGAGGTGAAACGAGCTAGGTGGTTAGCGCTAGTGGAGCACGATCTAGGAATGTAGGGTGCTCAAGAAACTTGAGACAAGGAGCCACGAATATTGTAATGTAGGTCAAATCCTGAGGTACGTCAGACTAGTAAAAGTAAAGTAAAGTAAGGAATATGAGATCAGAAGAGCGGAGACCGGGAGTCCGTCCAGCGTCTTGGTTTCGTCGATTACATCGAGATCATGACACTTAGCTTCCAGACAATACGTACACCAGTCGGAAGGCTGAAGCCAAGCAGATTGGACACATTGAAGACGAAATATATGAGAGGAACAGAGTCAACAGAGGAGAATGTTACCCTTTTAACATGAGTTCGGATTGACGACGATAAAATCGTAGTGGTCGATGCGTTAGTATATATGGACTCATTGGTAACTGGTAATGTCGATAATTAGTGCGAGATAAAAAAATAGTCAAACATACGGCATAAGCGAATTTTTAATTTAAATAGAACGAACGTGAATTAAGAACATACTGCCGATATTCGCATAACTGTCCCATCTTTGCTTGATTTCCTATTCATATGGGACAGTTATGCTTTTATGGGCAGCATAGCGAATGCATAATTAACCCAAACTGCACAGCAAAGCCCAGTATAATGGAGTGCCCGTACATAGCTCACTTTAGACCCAAAAAAATGAGTTAATGTCGATAGTAGAAATTTATATATGTATACAATAAATTCTGTTGTTATACGATTTTTATATCGCCAGCATTTTTGATCGTATGATCGCGGATTGCTACCAAATATAAAGCAACTTGTTTCAAAAAATCAATGAAAAATATGGTGATAGTTAAAATTTTGTACCCGTCCTGCATGACGGCAAAATCTAAAAAATTAAAATCGCGTTAATACAGGATTGAATTGAGAATTGCAACCAAATTGAATCACTTTAAAATCAAATAAAATTATGGTTTTATTTAAAATTCTGTACCCCTCCTGCATAATGCTGATATGGAACTACCACTCACTGCAGCAAGACAACTGTTGGTAGACTGTGGGCTATCATCACTGTTCAACTTGATCAAGTTTAATAACATCTAATTGTTCTCAACCTGCCATTGTATGAAGGGCCAAAAATAGTTTGGGTGAATCCGTGGGCAACATCGCCCAGGTGCATCCACGGGATAAATGAGAATCTCCTTCCAACAACAGGACCATACAACCGGTCAAAAAACAGGCCATCCAACAGGAGGATGTCCCAATGAGTGGGGGAAGAGCCCGCCCTCTTTTCCCGAAATGTTAAAATCGGAGTTGACATTTCCACTGCCCTGGTGGACCCTCCCGCTCCCAGCATATAATGTTTCATATAATAATGGATTGTAAGTTAAGAGAAACTTAAAGAAATGATCTCACCTGATATGTTACAAAGGAATCCATGACATCACGGTACTTTCGAAGAGCTCCCATAGATATGCTGCCGCTACTTCTTCAACCGGTGTTAAAAATAGAACTTTCGCCTTTTGTTAATCACACAGCAGTGTAAACCCCCATCAACGACGAAACACACGCTAGCTGCTCCAACTAGAGGAATCTCAGCAGAGAAAAAAAGGACTGCGTCCGATTTCCACCATTATCACGATCGCGATCAGTTCGCCAGGACATAGTTTGTAAGACACAGCGCCAGCTCCTAACCTGTCGAATCAACTCGCGACCAACGCCGAAATCAAAACCGACAATTCCAGCGACCGGAAACAAACACGTCTAATAGCGGCCACGGCACACTTCACTTGCATTTCTGAAACACAAAAATGACTCTCCTGCAAAGGGCAAAATTAAAAAAAATAAAACGCGTGAAAACAGAAAGAGTTGCATGCGAAAAATACACTAATGTAATTTACAAATTATTTTAATTTTAATTAAAAAAATCCCGATCAAAATCTTTAGCAGGCATCTTAAATCATTGAATTCATCAGTAAAGTGCATGTTTAAAACTTGTTTAGTGGTAAATGGAGGTTGAGCGGTGAACACACAATTCGCTTAAAAATAATCTTTATTTCAAATTTCCCTGGGCTTTGGCAAAACCTTGAGGTAGTTTAATTAGGCTACCAGTTCCCAGGGCTGATCTGGATCTTTACCACATTGGAAAGATGCACACTAGTGTTGCCAGATCAGTGTTGATGCTTACCAAAAGTGCATTTGAACCCGCTTATAAAAGCATATTAACAGATTAATCATCACCGTACATTGTTTATTGCTCTGTACTAATAATAAATGATTAAGCACAGCATTTGATGTTTTAGTAGGAATGCTGGATTTAGTCGCAGTGGAAATCAATCCTTTATTGAATTGGATTTATTTCTATGGATATGCACGTTTGAAAAGTATCATCACAAAGATTCTGCACTCGGTCTTCAGCTTGTGGGCGGGAAGCGTTGTGTTTGTTTTTTTTTTTTTTTTTATCTATTTATAGAGTCAATTCTTAGATACACGAAGCGAATGACAAATCAAGCATTAAGCACAAGACCTTCAAGAAAACTAACAACACGAAGTCTGGAAATGGCAATGTTTTATTCAAAATGTCAAGCATTTCAAGAATATCGGGTGAGACCAATCGCACCGGGCGCTCTTTCGGTAATCTGGAAGGGTTGTGCACGAGGAGTGATTTTAATCCCCCCCAGTTTTGAAGACATTCCGGAGCGAGGATCCATTATCTTATGTCAGAGGGATGATGGAAGTGGCATATCCAAAAACACAATACAACAAGAGAAGGCAGTAGGATTGAAGGTAAACAAGGAGTTCATGGGAACGTTGAAACTGTAAGTATACTCCGATCTATTCTAGTACTCTTGTATAAAACCTATTGTAAACCGGCTAGATCGTAAGCGTCGTCACCGGGACGCATAGTCATGTGAAGATTGCCGGATCCGTGACCACTCATGATAAAGCACACAAGGCTCTCAACATTAAATACATTGCACGGGTTGGGTCGCACAGAGGGTTGATAAGATGTACATTGCTTTGAAACACCCGCATGAACGATAACCATAAGGAGTGCCTAACAACCTATTCCAGTTATCATCCCAACAATATGTGGTATGGTGGCACGATTTGTGGTATCGTTCATGTATGGTGTTCCCCCCACTTTTTATTAGGGTCGCTGACGCTCATTGCACGCTCTTTCGTTCTCCGGCTGATTGAATGAATGACGGAGTTTGACGTCACACTCCTTCAGACGTTTAGGCGGCCGGCGGGAGGACGAGAGAGATGGCTGTTCAGTACAGGGAGATAATTTTACAAATGTATCTCTAATAGGTAACAGTTTAAAACTCACTAATAATCTCTTTCGATCTCTTTTAATTTCTTTTTTATTGACGGTGTGATGTAATCGAGGTCATTTTTCAACGATACGATAATAACTTATTCGCTTTTCATACAAAACCTACCCAACCCTTTCCTTTCTACAATCCCTGAGCAGCTGGTTTACCATAAGTATACCTCGCAGAACTTTTTTAACCCCCATGGGTAAAGATGCTGTGTTGCTCACTCCTCTCCCCTTCCCTGGTGTATTATGGATGGTGTGAATATATATTCACATCGGTGACATGGCCCCTGACCCCCTTGTACATCATAAAATGAAATAATCTTTATTTCAAATTTTTCCTATGTTTTGGATTTCCACATCTCAAAAAAAAAAATGTTTTAAAGTAGTTGAAAAGTTGAAGTTAAACGCAAATATTTGTTTGGGATAAGGTCCTATTTTTTTCCACATACGTTATCTCGAATATATCTGTTTATCTCATAATAACCCTAATACAATGGGTATGTTTATTTTGCCTTAACGACGTATTCGGGGTATCATTCAAACCATTTGTGGAACAGCCTTATCATTTGGGCTATCGTTCGTTTATGGTATTTTTTTTATTAGAGAAGCCACAAGATTGTAAAATCTGTCGTAAGTTTCAAAATGACTTATTATACCTGATGCATAAGCGTTTGGCCTAGTGACAATCGGTGAATTCTATAACCCAGAAAAAACAAATTCTGGGACTTCGAAAAACTTATCAGATGCTGGGAATTGAAAAATTATATATATTCTTGGACCTTTCTAAAATGTGTTGCGGTCTTAGAGCTGAAAAGAATTTCAAAATTATTGAACTCACAAAATATTTCAGAGTTTTGAAAATTCTCTCCTCTGATTAATTAAAGGAAGGGTGCAAAAGCAAAGAGTCATTGAAGTTTAAACATTTGCTCGATAATTTTCGTTGTGTGTTGTTGAGACTTGCTGGAACTGCAATTCAGTTCTGTAATTTAAAAAGTACGCTTATTTCAAAATTATTTAATATCAGGAGATTCCTACTCCCTACTACCTAAGAATACAGTGCTAAAAAACAGGGAACACGTTGTAATGATATTATAACATTATCCAATCAAATCTGTGAAATGTTTTTTAGGGTATTTTTATTGATTAGGTTCTTAGTTCTTTCAAATTGCGCTGCATTGTGTAACAGTATAGACTCGTGTAAATATATGACTAAAATCAAAATAAAGGTCTAAGCTTCCTTCACTAAAATGTGTACAACCTTATGTTAAGCAATCACTTGCACAGTGTGGTTCTTGTAGTCGCTAATGATAATCTCACGGTCCTTGCTAACATACAGCCCTGACAGCCAGTTGAACGTTCCGGGTTTCTCACCACGACATCCAAGTGCCGTTACGAAGCTACCATTAGGGCGGAATATCAAAATTTTCGCATTACCTCCGTCACCCACTAGAATGAAACCGCTCTGATCGACAGCAATAACCTCAGGATATTGAAATTGACCAACTATCGATCCTACTTGACCAAATTCGAGGATTTTATCGCCCTGCTTATTGAAAACTTTGACCCTCCGATTGCCGCTGTCCAGCACTACAACTTTGTCGTTATGAATTGCTACTCCTGTAGGGCACTTAAGATCCACATATCGCGTTGGTCTTTTGGTCAGCGTAGCTTTTAGCAGCTGATCCTTCGGAATGCACCCAAATTGCGAAAGCATTCGTCCATTCGCAGGATTGACACACTGAAATAGTAAATTTTAACAAAAATAGCCCAATTGTTGAAGCTATTTTTTACCTGAACCCTATCGTTTCCCGTATCACATATGAAAAGTGCTCCACTTGGACCTATTGCAATTCCCTCAGGAGACCTGAAAAATTAAAAAAAGATATCGTTTTGAACACCAACTTGTTTCTTTTGTTAAAAGGTGCAATATACCTCAAAAAACCTTCCTGATCGCCTTTTCCGCAAATTTGCCGCAGGAATAAGCCATCTGCTGAAAATACAAAAACGCAGTGCTTCCATTTATCGGAAATGAATATTTCTTGCTTGCCTTCGTCGAATGTGATGCCATTCGGATATGCCATGTCATCGTGAACAATTCGTTGAACTATTTCACCGGAATTTCTGAAAATTATATGGAATCATAACCAATTAATGATTGTTTTTGGAACGAGTAACAGCCTCAAATATGTTACGGTATTCGGTATTAAAGTACCTTCCCGTTTTTAAGCACACATGATTTTTAGAAAATTCATCAATCGCTTTGCTCTATTTGTGATTTTTACTAGATCATTCTTAAGAATTAGATATGCTTAGTATTTCATGAAAAATGTACAGAATGTCCTAGCATACATTTACATACACCAAGCTATCAGTATTTATTTAAAAGCCGTTTAAAATCCGAATATTGTCTACCTTGAAAATTCTGAAACAAGAAATTTTTCTGAATTTTTAAGATGCATTTAAAATCCGGGAAAAATTACAGCATTTAAATATCATAACTTTTATACGGCTAAATAATGTATGCATTTACAGTTTTGGAAGATATAAATGAAACTTTTCAATCGCGAAAAAAAAAAATCCATACAAAAGATCAACAAGAAAGACTATCGCCTTTCATAATAAAAATTCGAGGAAAACATGATTTTTGAATTGTTAGATTTCATAACAACCCGCCTTTTCTGTTACAATATTCCCATTTACCATACATTCTGTTGTGCAAAACCAAAAGCTCTGGTGTATTTGTGTTGCCAGATCTACAATGTGTACTATTGTTAAATGATTGTTTCCGTAAATATTTGTTTTTGTAGTGGTTTTGCCAACAAAACCACTAATCTAACAAAAAAATTATGTTGAGTTGATCGAAAGCAAATTTTCTCACCTTTTATTTGGCGTTAAAATAATTTATATGGCTTCATTACAGCCGTAGATATTAAATAATATATTAGATAAGCTCTTCATCGACTATCTCTTTCGTTAATAACTCAATTTCAAAAGCTTTACTTGCTGTGTTCAAAGTTCTAAGGGCAAGACAATAACTTCTGCTATCAAACTGTGTGGCAAAAAGAGCGCCAAATGTTTGTTTGCGTAGGCGTGGTTATCAAAAGAGAAAGTTCATGAAGAGAATCGATCAAAGCAGATAGGACCTTTTGAAATGTTCATCGAGATTTATTTAAAAAAAATTGTATTTTAGTATTGAGTGACATTTATTTTTTTTTTAGCTGTATCTAGAAAACTATCCTACTGAGATTTTTTCTAACTACGTTTTTTGATTCAGCACACGATTTTACATGGAAAATGACCACCAGCGTACAAAGTTCAAATATGCTGTAGTGTAATCTAACGGAATCAGTATGACAGTTGTTTGCCACCCCTGCAGACCCTATTTTACAAAACACGAGTTTGCAAGCTTTATGATACAATTGGTACATTAATGAAAATACTTACTTGTTAACGACGTACACCACTTTACTTTCTGCTCCAGCTATGTACAACATAGGATGGTCAATAGTTTCATGCTTCCAAGGAGCTACACCAACACCTGCTGGGCGATGGCACTTGTTCCAAAATAGTTTAGGTTTAAAGGTGTGATTTCTTTCAAGGAATAAACAAGCAACAAAAAATCAATAGATATTTCCAACGGCAAACATTGCGTATAACTAACTTGTAAAAAGTGAAAACGGCTTCTTCAGTGTCCAATACCGCTGGCTTTACGAAACCAGTTTTCTGGGTTTCCTGATTGCAATCCACATCAGTCAGAGAACCTTCATTACCGCCGTCTTGTGCAGTAATTACTTCTATCTTGATTTTTTTCTGAAAACAAAAAAAAATGCACATTTTATGGCGGCAGCTTAACACATTTTAACGCTGACCGGTACCTGGTCGAATAAAACAATTTCTTCACCCCAATGCGAAATCTCTTCAAAAACGATCGAAATTTCTTTATGCAAATTGAGGAAGGCCTGTACAAAATTTCCGTGTGTGCCAATCGTATTGTCCTCGATGGTCGTCTTGAGGCGGCGTATCTTCTCCATCACGAGTTCGTGCGCGCACAGTGCATCGTTTAGTATTCTCTGCGATTCGTCTTCATTTGGTGGGCATTGTCGAACATTCAATCCAGCACATGGCAAGTGACAAGGGACAAGTGTAAAGACGAAAAGATTAAATGATTTGCATCCAAATAGCAGCAACCGATGCGGTTGCAGTTTCAAGTGAATAAATATTGATGATAAATTGAATACCTAGAAATGCACGCTCTTGTTCCTCAAGCATCTGTAATTTTTCTTCGAAATGCGCCTTGATTTGCGAATTGAGATGTTTAAACCGGATCTGTTGAGTTAAGGAAAATAATAATGAAATAGCGAATTAAATTAAAACTGATTAAACAACCTACACACTCAATAGCATACTCGATTTTCAGATTTTTTAGCGGGCTACACTCGGCAAAACTACTAAATTGCAAAAAAAAATCGGCTTTTTTTCATGTCTATACCGAAAGCAGTAATTTGAGGTACTGACAGTCGGTATTTTCCAAAATCATTTACTGTGTTCTCTATTTTCATCACTGATCTGTTGTGTAAACTTAAATTCTCTTTTGTGATTAATTATTTCGGAAATACCAACTACTGGTTCATCGGCAAACATATCTCTTTTACTGTATGGTCATCATTTTATCACCGAACAATTGTTCAAATTAACTGAACAAACTGTAATTTATGATCTCACGTAGAACATCTGTCAAAAACTTCAAAAGCGCACCAGTTTGAAAATAAAATGTTGTATTACGAAATAAATAGTGTATTTTCCATAAAGTTTGAATGAATTTCTCATCAAGTTTTGGCGAAAATTGCTGGAAATAGACGATTATCTCCATGAAGTGCGATTTAGGATCAGCAACAATAATGGAATTGGCCAGCTACCCTCACTGGAGAGCGGCTTGTTTGCTAATATAAAAATGCATGTATTTTATTTATACATCAGCAATACATTTTTTTTCCACCATAGTAAAATGACAGAGTCACTGACACCTGTGGTCGATGTCACCGATTTTAGCCAAACTTGGCCAAAACGCTTATTTTGGCATTGTGAACAAACACCTTTTTTGATTTTGCTCTAAAATGCCTAGATCCCTCTAGGCTACAACCCTGGATTTTCAAGATTTTTAAAAATTTCATCTTTCAGAAGAAATTACTCCACAACCAAATCTATTCGTGATCTTACAACGTCAATTTGAAGGGTTTTTTGACGTAGGACTACGTCTTTGATTTCTATATGGGGGTACACTTTGTGAAAACCAAAAATGGAACATGTAACAAATTAAGAAAGATTTTGAACGTTAATAACTCAGCTGTCCCTGGTCCAATTTCAATAATTTTATCACCAATCGATCAGAAACATGGCTACGCATCGATTGAAAAACTGGTAAATGCCCTGCATTGTCCAAAAGCGTCGAATTAACTAACAAATCCACCAATTACCTACATGCATATGCTGCTTCCCCAGCACAGTCGTCAGAGAGTAGTAAGTAGACGAAACAAGTCGAAGTGGCATTCGCCTCCGATCCTCGGGCGCGTGCGAATAGGGAGGATGGAATTGAGTAATATTTTGCACACTCATCGCCATACTCAGCCACACGCTCCCAACGACCACACCACTTTGTGGTGGTGTTCGGTCGTCGAAATTAGTAGCAGCAGTAGCAGCAGTAGCAGTGCTTTCGGCGTGTGGCGTTGAAAATTGTTCTCTAGTAACAACGAAAGGCTGCCTGCAAGCAGCGAGTTGCAGAGCCCACATAAGCAACCATCAAAGGAGGAAGAAGCTGCACTGCTATGGGGAAGTTGCTTGAATATGAATTGAATTAAAACCCATTAAATCACATTAAAATACGATGATAAGGTGATTGGTAGCCTCACCAAATAGACTACACCCGGATATATTCCGGGTACCCCCAGGCAGTGGCGTAGCGTCACTGGATGACACGGGGGTGGGGGGCTTGTTCACTGATAATGACAATAAAATAAATAAACTTGAATAAGTAAGAAGGGTCTGATCACACCATAGGTGGATAAATTCGGGTTTTTAATGTAGATTTTTATAGGTGTACCCAGTGCAGTTTCGAACGCATTTGGATACGGTTGTGTTTTGGTGATGATTCGGTGGTCGACGTTGCCATGAATCAGCGAGTTTACGGCTTACAAAAGTGATTGTCTGCTGGTCTATCGCTAGTTGTGAGCAAGCTGAAGGATGCCTCGCTGGATACGCCCAAGACTGGGCGGGCGGTAGCTAGTGGCCGTGAACGGTTCCTGGGCAGCAGACGCGAACCTCCATGTCAATGCAAGAAAAATTGTTTTTCTTGAAGGAAGTATTGTCGGTAACCGCGAAATCAGGGAAAAAAACCTAGAATTCGGATTTACCGGGAAAAAAAACGAGGAAAATGCGGGAAAACCCCAATCGCACCAAGATCATATATACTCATCGCAAGTAACGATTTTGGTTTTATCATAGCCTTGTAGCAACCGGTGGAAACTAACGATTTTAAATTGGCTCACTACTTGACTAGCCTATTAGTCCCAAGTACATCTATAAGCGTACCCCATTCTTGTTGAAATTCTAGTTCTACACTATGTTTGTTTTGATTCGCTATGAAAGTTTGGCAGATAAAAACGAGGGGGGCGACACATCTAAATCTCAATCATAGATGTTCGAAAAATCTCACGCCAGCGAATAAATCTACGAAAAATCTTCTTGCCATTTTAAGCATCTAAATCCATCTACTCGCATTGACTTCCATCTTTTTGCAGGAAATCTTCAAAATCTTCATCAATCTTCTTAAAATCTACTCATCTTACGTGCAGCTAAGCACAGCAAAACAAAATCGTTTCTGCATCGAAGATAGAGTCGCCCCCCTCGGATAAAAAGAGAGGTTCGTGGATTTTCCTACACACTAACTTTAGATTACTGGAGTCAGTAAAATTTTACTGGGTTTTTGAATTGCGGATCGCCCAGTAATCATCACAGAAATAATTTGCATTACCGAACTGTCCGTAAAGTCAATCTGTCAAAAATAACTGTTCATTCAGTAATTGGTTCTAGTTGCGTATAAAGAGCCTGAATTTATAAAGAGACGACACCTTATCCATTTGACAGGTCTTCTGCTCGATTGGAATGACTTTTCCTATGACTTTGACAGACAATCGATTGTTCCAATTTTGACATGTCGCCTCTTTATAAATTTAGGCTCTTTAGTTGCGTATACTGGAAAACCCAGTATTTTCTATTTGTTTATTTCGCTGCAATTTAACTGAGAAGACAGTTATTTGGTTCATTATTATACCGTGTTATCCAGTTATATTAAAAGTAGTGAATGTGCAGTAATAAAAGCATGAATCCTGGTGCAATTCACCGTTTATAATATGCCAATTAATTTGACGACTTAATCCCTTGACGTACCCGGAATAGCGCGTCGACAGTGAAAGCAAACAATACAAACATCCATTTTGTTAATCAAAATTAGTTGGAGATCAAGGAACTGCAAAAAGAGTAAATAATTAGTGTTGGTACCAACGAAATAGGTCTTCAATTTCGCTGTCGAGCTTTCCCAGTTCCGTCATGATATAATTCATGATATTATTCCCAATATTATTCAAATTTTAACAAAACTGCGCGATTCAACATTTGCTCCCGGATTTTACTGAAGCTTAAATGGCGGCGGGAATAAAATTGACAGGTTAGAGTTTACAATTCGTGGTCGGTAAAACAAGGTGGCTATTTTGCTGACCAGTCGGTAAAACAATAAAGACTACTTTGTGCACAGTAATTATTTTTACTGACTTTTCGTGAAATCACGAAAATTTGGAAATTAACGACTTTCTCAGTAAATAAATGTTCTGTGTACAGTATTTTGCATCAAACGATACCGAAGTTCAGTTTGTGTTTTACAGAACGTCGGTTATTCACCTGATTTAAACTGAATTTTCAGTAAATCTTTCGTTTTACCGTGTAAGCCCAGTACAAAAAAATACCGAACAACTAAATGCTGGATTAGTGTGTATGTTTCGAGGGGTGCATCGATTAGCTTGGGACCGAAGATAATACCAGAACTGAGCCAAAAAGTTGAGCACTTTTTTTCGGGACCTTCTGGTCAGTTACCTCTATGCTTGTAGGACATAAATTGAAAAATCCTTTAAACCTTCACACTAAGATTATTTTACCGAAATCTTTGAAATTTTACCGAAATCTCAACAGCTGAACGTTCGGTAAACAGTTCGGTGATTTTTCATAGATATTCTGTGATTTTTCACAGATATTCGTTGAAAAATTACAGAAAAACTGTGAAAAATCACCGAACTGTTTACCGAACGTTCAGCTGTTGAGATTTCGGTAAAATTTCACAGATTACGGTAAAATAATCTTAGTGTGTTTATAAAACTTGAAATATTACTGGAAATTACAACAAATTTCATATTATGTTTTCACTGTGGTAAAGTTTCAAAAAAAAACCTCAAAATTACAAAAACTCCATTCTGTCACTTGTTTCGTGCACGAGACAAATAGCAATTGGAAAATAAAATTGAGGACCTTTGATTTTGCGTTAAAATAATTGATATAGCTTCATTCCAGCCGGAGATGTTTGTGTTTTAGTAAACAAACTTTTTTAAAGAGAAATTTCACTTTTTAACTGTATCTAGAAAACTATCCAACTGAGATTTTTTCTGAATACATTTTTGGATTTTACATAAGAATCATAAGCCAAACATTGAAATTCATATTTTTCTTAATCAGGACATCGTAGAATACCGTGGTTAGTCTGTAAAACATAAAGGTCTTAATCCATATCCCTCACGCCAAAGTCATGAGTTCAAATCTCACCCGGATAAGGCACGAATGATCCAAGAGTTTTTAAAGTGGCTATAATAAAAATTAAATAAAGATCTGAGCTCCAGACATTTGGAACACCTGATAACCCAAGTAACAATTTTGGTTTTATAAGGGTTCTGTAGACTAGGGTTTAGACTTGTAGAATGCTTTAAAACCACGATAAAACTTGAAGTGTTACTTGGGAAGCCAAACCAAACGAAGGTTTATCTATTCTATCATTAATTCGAACCATCATATACCTTGTTGAGTATGCAGAACTTCAAAATCAAATACCCGGGATAATTTTGACACTCCACCAATGCCATTTTTATACACAATTAATAATTTTAAATTATGTTTTTTAAAGAGTCTCTGTGAAGTACAAAATGCACAAAAATTCTGATTTGACATCGATCAAGATTTCGATTAACCTGTACAATATCTCCAGGACAATTTGGAGAATGATCAATATTTTAGTAACACATCTTTGTATTCCACAAACTGCTGTTTGGCTTATAAAACTTTAAAATTCAAACTCCAGAAAGATTTGAAGAACTTTTTATACTGCGTTTATCCTGTTCAGGGCTCTTGCATTGATATATGCTTTTTCCGGCATATAAAAAAAATAGGCTCATTTTTTGCAGTTAGACTTAGCTTTATGTGAATTCATGATTCTATAAAAATTTTCAGATCTAGAGAGATTAACATGTTGATGTAAATCCCATATCATATCTGTTTTCATTGACGTAGACGTATTGTAGAGCAATTATGCCGAAAAAAATTTGATTATCTCTAAACGGTTATTTTTTAACGCCATTTTTGTTTGAGGCAGGGATGATATTTGGGTTGTATCTTTTAATAACTTGAAAAAATCAGGAATTGAAAAATTGGATTTGAATGGACACCTTGAACACCTTACCTTATCCTGGAGACATTTCTGTAGTAAAAATCAGAATTCAGAAAAGGTTTGATCGACCTAGAATCTGGAAAAAAAAAATTCTTAGCTCGAGGTCTCCAATTTTTTACCACGATCTAAAAAATTTCATGTTCAAGATTAATAAAAAATCTTAAAAAAAAAGTTCAATTTGTCCTATTCCAAACTTCGTACTAATGACCCATTCTGACCAGTAGTATTTGACAGTAACATTTGATGTCCTTCAAAAAATTTGCATGATTCTGAATAATAAAACATTTAAAATCCGCAGGATATGAAAAACTTTCAAAATATCGGGTTTACAAAAAAATACTTAAATTCAAGGACTAATTGTGCTATCCTGAAGCTTGATAAATTTTCAATATTCTACAACGCACAACAAATTTTGAAATCCGGAAATTTATTTCTGATACTCAGGGGGATAATCGCTTCTTCCTCTGACCATTCCAATGCTTTAGCCGGTCCAGGAATCCCGTCACTAACTGCCTGGTTTGTTTTATAACTACGTTGTTTTACATGCACGGGTTTAGGGACCGAACTACTTAAAGCCACACAATTATGAAGATACTTTTCAATAGTATATATCCATATTTGTCGCAAGTACTGGTGTATGATTTGCTCATTTCACTCAAACCCTGAATAAGTGCTAATGATTCGATGAACACTTGTGTGAGGGGTCACCTTGACTGGGTCAAACAACTCATTTGTCTCGGTCCATTGACAGAACATCAATCGATGACGGAAATTTGCCAAAAAGTTTCTCTTATAGGTATGCGCAAGCAACGTTTCACGTATCCCTTTTTGCAGGTTGGAAAGTGTTTGCGTACGAATTTTGTTTATGAATTTGATTTCGCCGATAATATCTACACACATTGGGGGAGGGGCAAACTTTTACTCGTCAAATTGATCGCCTCAATTAAACGCCACCGTCTGCTACACCCGACGACGGGGGCGGTAAAATTTGCACAGTTATATCAGGCCCGATGTCCATAAGTGAACATTGGACAACTGAAGTCACACGTGCTTTATTCCAAGCACGTGCACTACATTTGAATAAAATCGTACGCGCGCTCATTTCGGATTTCAGGTGGACCGAAGTTGAAAGCTGGCCAATTGATTGTATAAAAATTAAAATATTATGTGTCTACCATCACAACAGTACGGTTAACGTTGGAGCAAGATAATAGTAGCAGACCGAAATAAATATACTAGAGTGATACACTGCAACAGATTTGCTATGCAAAATGATGTAAGTATTTTGTACACACAACGGATTGATGATCGACCCCAGCGATAAGAATGATCACGTTCGATAGAGACAAAATCGTGAATTTTTCATTCTCTCGATCACTCTCTACGTTATTTGGAATCCGGAATTTACTCTCGCTTTCGTTTGATTCGTTTGTCATTAGTCGACCAATTTAGTCGTTGCTTCTTGGCATTATTAACATCAACAAGTAAGAAAACACCGCCACACGCCATTTGGTGGTCCGGGATGGCATAGGTGAGCAAAAAGTCGTGGTTGATTGATGGCTTTGTATGTGTATCTTATACCTTTATATCGGGTCTTACCTTATAGTCGGTCATTTTATGGTCCATTTTTTTACAACCCGAGTTAAGTTGAACGTCGAGTTGTTTTACTTGTTGTATGAGTTGATCCATATGGGATTGCCAACAGATAGCGCATAGAACCTGAAAATGATATATGGTTAATGTTAATGAAAATTTGGTTCCTTGTGCATTAGGATCTTTTTTTTTGACCCGGCGTCACTTAAAAAAAAGCTGTACTGCCTATAATCGCATATCACTTTCATATGGATTTCCTCTCCCCCTGCGTAGACAATTGTCAAAATTTAAATATATTTTTTTTAAAATTTGTATGGCCCGTGGATAATTGTCAAACCCTCCCCCCCCCTGAACTGTCTACGTAGTTTATGAACAACCCCTTATGCCGAAATCAGATTCGGCACTGCTTGGGCACATCCATCGGCAGACGTTCGGCACAATTTCGTAGGCATTGGATTGGTGCAAATAAAATGGGAGCACTGCTGGACAACTGTCATTGAAGTTGTTCACAACATTACGTGCTGTTTGACTGTATGTTCAGGAACATCCTTTAGTTGAATATACCAAAGGAACTCAGACCAGCAGTTCACTGATAGATCTAAATACGAAATGTAGGTTCTAGAATGAGCTCAAGAGGACTTAATCATACCCCATAAGTACTCTTAATTCAAATAATGCTGCAACTCACACTAAACAAACTACCGAAGTCATATTCATCATCCTCTATAGTCGGTCTCCAACAATGTTCCCCACCGGTGTCGGCCGCTGATAGACCGTTGTTTTTCACATCACAAAAGGCTAGGCTTCTGGTCTACCTTTGAGGGCATTATAATACCCTATAACACAGGACTTTTATTATCCTATGAACACAAAACATCAAAATTTCGCACACCTGCCACTTCCCGCGTCATTCTCAATCCGATGTATGCTTGCGATTTCAAATCAAAACATTCAAGGTGTCAAAAATACCGGGTTGCCGGGATGGATATTTTACAAACAATTGCAGCTTGCTCTATGACCGGCAACATCTGCACACCTGCGGTACACTGACAAAAAAGATGACGAAAGATTGGTGTGCGGAGTGACCTACCCCTTGATCAAGTCAGTTTGTCCCAGTAAGCAAAGTAATCGCATACCAGTCCCATCCTGAAATTCGAACGTCCAGAGGTCAAGTTACAGTTCTGCTTTTTGGATCGCCATATTTTTTGGTGATATAACAAAAAATGCAAGCTTCAGCTGATTTCAACGTGCAAGAATTGTCAATTAATAATTTTTCAAATATATACAAGGGAATTGCACTTCGTAACTTCAACTGCCATTTTCTCAATGCCTACTTTTTCTATATGGGACTGATATGGGATTATAGACAGTGTATTTTTTTTTTCTTTGGTTTGTTTTTCGTCGATCTTGTTTTCCGTGCTGAGCACCAATGCTACCGACGCCAGGAAGGCAGCTCCCACACCTGGACCCTACCTATCGACCCATCAACTCATGAACCGGGGACCAACGGCTTTACTTCCCTTCCGAAGGAAGACGTGATCAGAGATGTTATGCCTCAGAACATCCCGGCGGCGCCGACTGGGATTGAACCCAGGCCTGCTGGGGTGAGAGGTAATCACGCTTACCACTACACCACCGGCTCCGCTATAGACAGTGTAGCTTCGTAACAAAATATGATAGAGAGCTGAAATTTCCTCACTTTTTCTAACTTTTGGAAACGAACATTTTGCTGCCAAAAGGAAGTGACCTCTATGAGTGGCTCTACAAAAAAGTAACACATTGTGTGTTAGGGTCTAAAAAGACCCAGACTGCAACACGCTCCCAAAATTCAATTTTGGACCGATTTTTGATCTATTGGGCTTAAAAGAAAGATAAATGTTCCTAGAATGGCACCCTGGCCAGGATTTTCTCCAATTTGGACAAATGGACACTTCCAAAACATCATGTACTAGCGAGTGTACTAGTACCGTTCGATGGCTCAAACTTTATGATTTTTCATCCAGAAGTAAAAATACATCATGCAAGGTGTAAGGTAAGGTGCATCTGGCCACATTCAGATATCCGGAACCGGAAGGGCTCAAAGAGGACATTTCCTAAGCCTCATGTACTGGTACCGTCCGACGGTTCAAAATTAAAGATTATTCATCCAGAAGTAAATATACATCATGCCTGGGACATACATGTGTCCAGGTAGAATTTTACGGCAGGTCGTGTTTGTTTACTTATGAACAGCAGCGGCGAGAGTCAGTTGTAACATACCGAGCCCAAGAGCATTTGTGCCTAGATTGCACAGTGGTGCGAAAGGCCAAATCCATGAAACTTTTCCATTAGCACCTTTCACAGTTGTTTTTTCAATAAGGGGTCTTCAGAAGAGTTTTTCTAAATAAAAAGACCCATGTATGAAGTTAAGTTTTAGTTCGGAACTTCACCACAGGGAACGCTGCAAAATCTAACTTTTTAGTTTGACCATATAGAGATATAGAGTATTCAGTTAAGTTGTAGGTTGTTTCATAACTAAAAACTTTGTTGAAGGCGCCATGCCTCGACGGTGCTTGCGATTTTGAGTTATGAAGCGTTTTTTTATAGAAGGGTCTAAAAATCCGTTTTTTTGTAAATATTTCCGAAATTATTTGTTTTAGTTGACTATAATGTTCTGCAACTTTTTAAAAATCAATAAAATACACCGAAGACAAAAAGGTTCTATCTGCAAAACAGAAAATGTTATAGGCAATATCAGCTCAAAAATAGCCAAATTTCAAGCATCCACAAACTTCAAAGAGGCAAAAAGGGGCAGTCGACTCATCAATATGATGAAACTATAGTGAAAATACTATCATTTCATCTAGTAGTCATTTGTATCTCGTTGTATCTATGTGAGCTGAGCAATGTTTTATTAACAGCATTCTAACCACCCACCATGTTTTGTTTGTTACACAGTTCGAAAAAGTAGTGTACATTTCTGTCACTATGATGCACATAAATGGAGCGTCACATATCATAAAAATTCACATTACAGATCGTGTAAAGTAGAATAACATTCCTTCGTCACCCTCATCTACTAAACGTGGCAGAAAGTTACTGTCATTCGAAGACAGCAGCGATGTTGTAAAAAGACGGAAGACATCGGATTTAAGGAGCAAATATCCAACGGCTGAGTTAGCATATGCTACTCAAATGAAACTAATAGCGAATTCGTTTATTATTCAGTTCCAACCTGGATCGGGTATCAAGATTGGGTCTGCTTGTTTTCTGACAAACGTCAGTTTACTTGTTTGTTTTTAAAACCTAGCTCAGGTTGAGGTTCGCACTGACAAAAAGTTCGGTTTCGCACCAACCCCGAAAATAAACGAATTCGCTATAAGAGAAGACAAAGAGTACACGATTCTGCGACTATTTTACAAGATATAACACAAAGAAGTCCATCAAGAGCAACGCAAGTGTTGTCATTGCAACGTTCAGTTTCTAAATCTCTTGTTACGTTTACAAATAATGAAGCTTGCCGTTCAGCGCAATGCAAACCTTTATCGTTCATACCACAAAGTGTTGGATGCAAAGAGAAGTTGTTACCCCGAAAAAGAATCCTTGCTGATCTCAGAAACTTCAGCTGAAGTAAAACTTGGGGCTCTTTTAAGACACACAAGCAGTAGAATAATAGAAGCAAATATTGAGATGCTTCATACTTTCACAGATGACGAACTCAATAATGTTGTATTGACTGCAAAATAGAGATTCGATGGGACTACAGGGTTAAGCGAACACAAGATGAAGTTTGAAGGAGATGATGGTACTATTTCCGACAAAAGTGTGTTCGTTACATCGTTAGTGCCCATAAAAGCAGAGGCAAATAGAAAACTGCTTTTCCAGAATAAGCGTCCATCCTCTATTAGATACTGCAGGTCAATCAGGATCCAATATTCATGCAATTGTTGGTTTCCAATATATTGAATTGGTTCCGCTTCTTGATAGACCGAAATTCTATCCACCAGATATAGTCCAAATAAGGCGACTATACTGGTGACGAGGATTGCTTCGGATGATGGATGTCGAATCAGCTCGAATTCTAAGTTTTTATGCTCTGACTTCACTGTACTATATTTTGAAAAGTTATGTGATTTTTACGCCACCTAATTTGTCTTTTCCCTATCACATTCATTAAGACAATAAAAAGTCAGATGAATAATGATAATAAATAAATAAATAGATGCTAATTTCAAATAACAGACTGTAGTGGTAATTTTTATACGATAGATGGAGTAGATGAAAGTATAGAGTTGATAGTTCCGTTAGAGTACGGCAGTGTGAAAATTACATATAGATAGTAGAATAGCGAGCTAGGAAACTTTTAAGGAAGGTACAAATCGGTTTGATGGATGTTCGACCAATGACAGTAAAGGTACAGTAGCAGCACCTACCACACCCGTGTCCTCTCGAGATCGTCAAGTCAACGATGACAGGAGCACATATCGTGGTAGGGGTAAACAATAGTTGCAATTTCCAAACCTCCGACTGGATGCCTTCCTTCAAATAACAACTGAAGTGCGGTAAAAAATCGGTAGAACTGTTTCAAACACATCGTTGGTACTTGAGCGGTCGGTTTTCATCTCTTTTTGCCAGTGGTGGCGGAAGGCGACACCCCTCACCATCCCTCTCCAAATGGGGAGTTTGGTAAAGAGAGATGAAAAAACCGATTTGTACCTTCCTTTAAAGTTGTCCTAGCTCGCTATTCTACTATCTATATGCAACGGAACGGAACTATCGGAACTATCAACCCTATGCTTTCATCTACTCCATCTATCGTATAAAAATTACCTCTACAGTCTGTTATTTGAAATTAGCATCTTCAACTAAATATTTACCTATTTTTTTATTGATGTTTCAATTGAAAATTATTAGTGATGCCATAATACAGGAATTGTAGGAAACAATATTTGGAAATTCGAAAATCCCTATTTTATGATGTCTAATTATTAAATAATTTCCATTTTCGACCCATCAGCATAAAATGTTTTTTTTTGCAATTTTTGCAAGACAAAACTTTCTATTATGCTGCATAGGAGCACCATTCATGTAGTAGCATTGAAAATATGTTTAACGAAATCATTTTTTGTTGCCATGAGATTTTTGTTTTATATCACCGAGGTCATGTATACCAATTTATTTTAATTTAACCACTTCATTCAACCACTCGAACTTTCAAATAAAACATTATTTTAAGATTTTTTCTTCTAGAACCTCGAGAAAAGTAGCCAACATTTGTGCGTTTCATAAAAAAAAATAGAAATTATTTGGTCCAGTTTTGTAAAATCGCAGGTAGAAAGTCACGCCAAAACTGCTTGACAAAGTGGTCAATTAATCGCAAATTGATTCTTTATATACGAATAGTGGATACACGATTTATCTTTTCATGAATTATTAAAACCTTGATGTTCGTAAACAACATAGGCATGAAAAGAGCATGGTACATTTTCTGCGGATCAATGTTCATTAAGCGGTTAGCTTAATTTAAGATTCCTAGCTTTACAATTCATCAGCAGCACTTTTAATTACTTACTTGATTGCAATGGTTGCAATTTTGCATCTTAATGCTACCGATAGTGTCACACTTGCTGCATGTTGAGTTGGAGCTACCATCATTTATCTGGAAGAATGGGTAATTTAGTAATGGATAAGGCATGTACTTTTTTACTGTGATATGAGAACCGAAAAACACTTACGACATAATTGGAAGTAGAATTGGAAGCTGATAAGATTTGCTTTTGATGGGCACAGACACTGGTTCCAGCAGTCGGTTGACTTAAGACCTGCAGCACTGAATCAATGTACACATTTTTCGGAAGATCCGTCAGCAAAGCAGAAGGGGAAGCGAATGTGTGCTTTGATTCGCATGTAGAACAAGTAATATAATCTGAAAAATGGAACGAAATTGAAAGCATCAACTTTCGATTTTCAAAATGGTAGAAACTTACGCTGTTGCCCTTGTTGGCGGTAAGACATTTCGAGGCACGCGAGGCAAAATGTGTGTTGACACTGGAGCATCTTGGGGGACTTGAGCCGCTTTTGGCAAATTGAGCAAATTACCAAACTTTCCAAGGCACGAACAGCGTTACTAAAAATATGCATGATTAGATTGGAATTTGAAGTTCGGGTTTCTAGGTGACTCTTACTCTAATGAATGTCCGGTGCTTAAAGGTTTGCGTTCGGCTTGTTTTTCAGCTGTTTCATTTGCCATGTTATCCTCGTAGGTGATCAGTTTCACTGAACGTTTATGAAACTTGTTGTGCTCCATTGTGGATGAAAGCGTGTTTAACTGCTTCTAGCACAATGCGTACTGCCAAAAAGATATTCTAGGAAAAATGTAACTTCGACAGGACTGTTGCTGATATCTTATCTGGCACCGTAAAGTGGGGTTTCTTTGAGATCACCAAGTGTAAATATCTCGTGTGGCGTGAGGTGGACGTCATCTTCATGTCTTGACATTTTAGATGATGTCACATCGTCACCACACCAGCCTTTTATTCTCTGTGTTTGTTCTTGAGACAGATGTAATGTTAGTTCTTACAACATATTGTATCATATTAGGCGAGATTTACATTGGTACTGGTATTTTTAAATATTTTTTTTTATGTAATTCCGCATAATAAAACCTTTTTTTTCATCACGCGATAGAGTACCATCCCGAGCAAAGTCTGAGATCAAATTGAAATATAAGTTTGATGTTGTGATTTCGCTTATAATGATTACTCAGGTTGCTGTCGTTTTGGTAGTTTAAAAAGGTTTAAAAAGGTAATCAAAATTGAGACCAAAAAAATCTTCCTGTCACCTCACATTGAAAACTATTTTTGCTATCAGTGAGAGCAAACTGAAACCTCAATTTGATATCAATTTTTCCAGTTGATAAAAAAAAATAAGGATTCAATTTGATGTTATGCTGAGGCAATGAAAACAAACCCGCAACAACATATTTTTGAAGAGCAAAATTAAATCAAAATTTGTTATAAAATTTGTCAATTGCGTAAACTGAAATCAAATTATGATTGCAGTTTGATGTTAATATCTAAACTTGATTTCAATTTGCTGTCATTTTGATGCTGGACTTTGCTCGTGATAACTCAAACTATATAAAATAAACGTGCGCAAAAGTTACTTCCCCGCACTCAAAAGCGTGCGCAAATAGCTATTTATGCAAGAAGTTGCAAAAAGTAGATTTTTTGCACTCAAAAAAAAAGGTCAAATAGTATAGCTTTCCGGCACCTGATGCCAAAAAGTAGTACTTTTTGACACTGTGATTTAAGTTATGAAAATTAGACCATTATGTTATTCAAAACAGTGTCGAAATGTGACATTTTACAGTAATGAATAATAAAAAAAAAAACACGTGCCTTGCCGACCGAGAGCTTGAAATATTGTGAAAGTCATATTTCATAACCTACCTGATCCGAAAGTATTGATCATACACATGGGCGTTAATGTGCAGCTACTCTTGAAACTGCGTTCTATACAGATTGAAATAATTAAAACACATGGACTCTGCTCCAGAACAATACACTGTCCATCAGTTCTTATGCTTTAAACGTGTTGAAATCAATATTTCTAATTCTAATGCTAATTATGACTACACGGAAAACAAAACACAGGTATTGAACATTTTTCAAGATTACTAAAAATCTGTGAATATCGGTAGGAAAAGTGAAAAATCGGTAGTTTTGAACCTTGCGTCTGTGAATCGCTACACTAATAAAAATTTAATGATTATTTTTATGTGTCCCACACATGATTTTTTGCAATGTGATCAACAAATGATATCTATGTGTCGGACACATACTTAATATGTGTACACATAAAATCCATATGTAACACCACATACTATTCATTTGACTCATAAATTTCATGTGTACTTCTGAGTGGATTCTGTTTATGTGTGGACCCATTAAAATCATGTGGAATTTTACATGGAAATTCGCCAATAAAAATGTGTCGAATATTATGAGTGTAGGCATCCCGAACATTGGTAGGTCTACCGATAAATCGGTATGTCTGGCCACTCTGCTGATGGTAGCGGTGGATGCGATTTGACAGAAGCATTTTGAAAACGACGGCTCTTCCTTTCCCTCCGACCAGCTCGACTATTTGGCGGCAACTGATAGTGGAAGCTAGAGTGGAAGCTTTTTTTTTACTCTAAATGATCTTTATTTCTTGTATTTGTGTGGTTTACATGTATGACTTATCAAGTGACACAGTGACGAGTTCGATGCTCCCGGCGTTCCTTAGGAAACTGATGGTGGCTCTCTTCCCCCAAACGTACCGGCAAATCACAGTGGATAGGCTCACCTATGGACAGCGCCTGTTCTTATCCTCGCCTGTTGGCATGTGGCTCTATGCTGTTCCGAGCTACTCCAGCAACCGAACGTGCTGTTTTGTAAGGAACGTTTTTGTTACCGGCAATTAAAATTCGCCGCGTCCGATTTCTGTTGTTGCCAGGGACAGGTACCGGCACCAAGCCAACAACAACGACGACAACGACGGTGATAGTGGAAGCGATTTGGCAGACCCTTTTGTAGAAGAAAATTTTGGCTGCTCTACCTCTTCCATTATTCTAATGAAACAGTTATCACCGAGCTCCGATCAGATCGACCGCAACGTTGAATTATTGTGCAGCTTCGGCTTGTGTCGTTAGGGATGGCTGATGGCTGTGTGAGGGGTGAGCACCTTGCGGTTGTAGAAAATGTATGGAAAATTTGAGTATTTCCATATTTCTTCATTGTTAACTATTTAAATAGTTACCAATTATTGTGTCATAGCATAGCATAGCATAAGCGATTGCACAAATCGTGGGGGGCTGTATAATGGTCAACCAATACATTTTGTAGAAAATATCGTGTGTTGCCGTGAAAAAAACACTTGGGACTAGTGGTTTTTCCCACGCATTAAAATCACGCCACATCCTTACAATCGCAAGGGATAGGAAGGAAAATTAGTCCAACATCTACTTAAGAAGGTGCAGGGAACCTATACTACCTTCATAGATGCCACGGGAGGGAACATTTGTGTTAGTAGGAAATGGAATATATTTAGGAATCTCTATTCGGCTATATAAAGTAAAGGTTATGTGAAAATGTAAACAAATTTAAATTAATACAAAAAGAAAGATCTCACCAAAATCATCTGCTATGCCTGTTTTTCCATGTTTTCGAAGCTGTTTCATGCATTATCCTTGCCAATACTCTCCAGCAACCGTTTTCTTTTCACACCGAAGCATTGAGACCATTCATCACTCTTTCGCCTGTGCTACTGTATTGGAAACAAACCGCAGGATTTACAGCAGAATGCGCAGATCCTTCGGTGTTTGGAGTACATCTGATCACCAACACCATCATAGAACGATTAGAAAACCCAACACCTCCGACGCAGACATCGATTGCTTCACTATGCCACACATTTTTGGTCCGGGAGCACACGGGAAGAAAATAAAACAAGTGTGCAGATAGCGACATCTCTGCTGATTCTTGCAAACACGATGAATCACGTTTCCTTCTCGATTCGAAAACTTCCCAGAAAGCGAGAAAACCACCACAATCACACACGTACAACCGTCGGGGAGGCAGAGTGCCAGCGCTTATCAGCCAAATGAACGCACGCACAAAACAGAGAGCAAACTTAAAATAGAACCGTATTCGACGGGTTTCGAAACTCGAACCCTATATACTAATTATTGTGACATACCACACAAATTTTATAACACTGGTGAATCTATCGACACACAAATAATCAAAATCCCCTTGATTATTGGTCAAGTTATTAGCATTTAATGTCTGACCAATTATCGTTGCATTTCCCTGAATTGGCACCCTTCCCGAAAGACGTAGTCCTACGTAAAAAAAAAAACACTTTTTCCATCTCGGCCAACTTGCTTTTGCACAAAACTATTTTTCAGTAAGTGGCTTTTACGAAAACTATACTTCATTCCCATGTGTTTTTCATATTTTAAATCTAGTTTGAATCATGTATCGAATATTCCATGTAACCGACATTAAAAAGATGGCGAACTAAGAAACATATGTTCGATAACTCGTAATAAGGGCCAAGAATTCGATTTTCTTGAGAATTACAGGCTTTTTACCATCATGTTATTTTCGGCCATTTTCACCTGGTTGAAAGGAGGACTTTATCAGCATTGTACTGCGCAGTGAAAGTTTAAACATGAAGTTGAGTTCACATTTCATTCCTAATTGTTGAGGCAATTAAAACAACATCATGAATCATGAATGATGTTTAGCATATTAGTGATATCCCAAAACCTTCCAACGTTACGTTATGTAGGGGAAATGGCTCTAATGTTAGCCTATGGATCTAATATTGGGCCCATCGCTAAAAATCTGCTATTTATCAATTGTATCTAACTGAAAGCGTCATTGAGACGGTACTAATAGCTATGTTTGGCCGCTATTGAAAATTTAGTCGATTGCTGAATTTATGTATGGGCCCAAATTAGGGGCATTTAGGCCGACATTACTGTAGCGTACCGCGATTCGATTAAAATGAGTAACGTACTCGGTAAATGGGCTGAACCCATTCGACATACGATCATCAATCGTTCGGGTTTTTTACACACAAACAAACAGTATTGTACATATAAAAAGGAATTAAACTCAGAAGCAACTGATAGTTGTGTTCTGGAAGTGTAAGCCGAATTTCCATCTTAACATTTAACAAACAAAAGAAAGAAGTCTTTTCTTAAGATTAGCTAAATACAACATCGACCTCTTCCAAATCTCTTAAGCTTTTAGATCGTGAATATGTAATAGAATTTAATGAGATATCTTGGACATGACATAAATCGGGATACAGTGAAAAAATAAAGAGTACGAACATGGATTTTTTAAAAAGATCTCGTAGTTTGAAATGTTTTAAATCAGGCCTTTCTAATCTTGGCTGTATATTTTTTTTGATGAACATATTTCAAGCTGCATTTTATTTATTTCCCATGTCACTAGAGTTATATCATTGCTGCGATCCACATCTGGTCCGTGGGCTGCACGTTGGGCAGCGCTGCTTTAAATGTTGTGGTACCGTAAACCGGAGGAAAATTGATCACTACTAAACGTTCATATTGAAATAAATTTCAACCAAAAAGAAAATTAACAAACTAATGGAATTAAAACCAATTAAACTCTTTTGATTTATATGACTTTAAGGAAATTTTAAATATCTTAAATTTGAAATTGTTGATACGTGTGCGTGTCATCCTTTATTGATGACAATAGACAATTTCTTTATAAATCGTTAGAAGTTTTACGAAAATACTTAAATTTCTTGAAATTGTAAACTATTGTTTTGTAAAAATTTATATACTTCCAAT